TCACGGCCGCCATGACTCTTGTGATTATTTTTGAAATTATTCTCCTCAAAGATTCACTAACTCTCGTAATCCGCCTTAGTGTTCGCATGAAAGATCTCATAAAAGCAACAAAAATAGTTCTTCACCATTTGCTACTCCAAGCTTGAAACACGGAAATTGCAATGAGTGCAAAGAAATAATACACTGGTCGTATGAATGTCGTCGACACCACTTTCAGAAAAAGCTCAAAGCGCTTCAGATTTTCTACAACATTCTCAAGAACTCCATGCAATCCGAGTCAAACAACATGAAATGTTATCTCAACAATCATGATGATCATTGCAAGATTGCTTTTGAAGAAGCTGATGTTGTGTTCTTTGATAATGAGGTTGTTCCTGTTGTAGACAATACAGTAGACAACGATGCAGCAACTGTACTTTGTGCATTTTTGAATCAAATAGAAGAAAAGTAATCATGGTTTTTTGATAGTGGAGACTCCTCACACTTAACTAGAGAGTATAGATAGTGGACTCCTCACATTGACTTATTTCTAATATCAAAGATTAGGCTGATCATATCTTAGTTAGAACTGCAAGCAATCAAGTTCTTTTGGCTTGTGGAAAGGGCTCACTTACATTAGATCAAAAGAAGGTGTTTGATGTTTTTTACGTGCATGGTTTGAAGAGAAATTTGTTGTTTGTTTGACATCTGATTGATTTAGGTCATACAGCACTTTTTAACTCAAAGAATTGTTATGTATTTAATAGAGTACATGCACTTAGCATACTATTGTAGTAAAAACAAAATCCACATAACAATTTATACAAGCTATCAAAGCCTGGAGGCCTCTTACCTGCCATCACGTCACCGTCTTCTCCAACATGACTTCTTTGTTCGATTAAAGTTTCGAATATAAAAGAGCCTAAATCGGATCTTCAAACTTGTTCAGTCTCTCAAGCAGAACGTTGGCATCGTCGGATGGGTCATGCAAACTATCAAAAACTCCATTTGATGGTCTCTAAGAAGCTGGTTGTCTGAATTACTCAGATCCGTCGCATTATATCTTTATGTGCTACCTGTTTGAATGCAAAATAGAGCCAAGATCGTATTCTCAAACACTCTTGTACTCAAACAATCCGTCCATTATAATTGTTGCACTCAGACTTGTGCGACTCTTCCTTCTGAACTCTTAACAAAAAAGCAATACATACTGATGTTTATTGACAATTTTACCATATATACCTAGATTCATTTTTTAACTATCAAAGACGAGGCACAACATTAATTCAAGATTTCAAAGTTATGGTGAAAAATAGTTACAGTCACAAGATCGCGGCATTGCGAACGGACATAGGGGGAGAATATCTCTTCAAAACTTATCATACTCTATGCGTAAAGTCAGATATTCATCAAGCTTTAACTTGTTTGTACACTCCACATCAAAATGGCATTTCTGAGCAAAAGAGTTGTATTGTACTTGAGATGGCCAAAAGCTTACTTTTTTATGCTCAATTACCTAACAATCTCTCGGAGGAGGCCGCAAGTACAACCGTTTATATCTTAAATTGGTTGTGAACAAAGGCAATGCAGATGTCAACATCCTTTCATCAGTTCATAAGTCTTATCCAGAATATCAAGCACTTTAGATTTTTTGTATGTGTAGCTTTTGTACTACTTACAACAAGGTTCGACAAACTTTCTGCTAGATCCTTGCCAGTTACTTTTATGGCTATAATACTAAGTCAAAAATCTATTGCGTATATGACAATGTTAATAAAAAGTGTATATCAATAGAAACGTAAGATCTAAGAAGTGCGTTTTTGGACTCGCAGCCCGATACAATACTAAACTTGTTGACGATCTTGATATTCTACTTCCTCAAAAAATTAAACCTCAATCAAAGACTACCTACTAAAGCTACACTTCATTCGTTTCCTATGTTCACATCTGCTCATGCAATATCTCCGTCCATTCAAGAATTCACTTTCTCATATTTGAAAACAACATTAACGGCTTTTTTTATTTTTTCATTCTTAACTCTCCCACCTCCATCAGGTGTATCCACCGTCGAAAGCAAATGGTTCCAAAACTCAACTCCTTCTGTTCACAGTCCTAACATAAGTACGGCAATTACTTCAGACCCTATCATAGAAGATATGCCAAAAGTCCATCACACCCCGCTCCATGCGTACTCTAGATTATTAGAAGTACTATGTGAACTCTAGTGCGAAGATTCTTAAGAATACACTCGACTATTATGAGCTTGTGTACTACATGGATAACATTTCACTTTCAACGAAGCTATAAATATTCATGAATGGCACGCGTCGATGATTGATGAGTTTAACTCCATACGGAAAAATCATACTTTGAGCTTGGTTAAATTATCACGAGAAGCAAAATCAATAACATGCAAGTGGATGTTTCATGTCAAAGAAGACCATAACGATTCTCCACCTTGTTTTAAGTTTCGTCTTGTAGCGAGAGTATTGCAACAAAAAGAAGGTAAGGACTACACCGATACCTTCACTACTGTCATGAAGTGATCTAGGTAAGATTTGTGAGCCATTGCCGATGCATGCGGATGGCCAATTTATCATCTAGATGTCAAAACTACTTTCTTAAATGATGTAATCTCAAAAACGTCTATGTAAATAAACCACATGGCTTTATTAGAAAAGGTTTTGAGTATTTTGTATGTAAAATTAATAAAGCTTTACAGTTGGAGACAAACCCCAAGGGCTTGGTACGAATGTATTGACTTCTACTAAAGACGAGCAGGCTGGACACATTGTCACTTTGATCCTAATCTTTATGTTTTAAGGGAGGATTGTGTCATAATAATATTGGTGCTCTATGTATATGACACGTAGATAATAGGAAAATCTTTGAGATTAAGTCCGATCTAATGTGTCAGTATGAAATGAGTGATTTAGGTGAAATTCAAAATTATGTACACTTTGATTTTTCTCGGTCACCACAAGAATTATTACTTCATAAGAAGTTCTATATCACCAAAGTTTTAAAAGAGTTCAATATGCTTGATCGTAGGTCATCTTCATTACCAATTTATGCTAAAAAATACTTGACAAAGATACTAGCACTCCCTTTGTAGATACTACATTTTACAAAAAACTACTTGTCGAATTGATGTTTGCTACTAACTCCGGATTTGATATTTCTTTTGTTGTGGTACAACTCTCACGGTTTATAATAGTAACTAAGGCATCTCATCTAAACCTTGAAGTACATCAATGGTACTTTAAACCACAGAATATTGGTCAAACAATGATATTTACCTTGCACTACATCAATGGTACTTTAAACCACAAAATATTGTTCAAACAATGATATTTACCACAATTGCAGGGACACACATATGTCAAGTGGGACTCTTGCCAGTACACATTCTACATATGCTTACATTTTTACACTGCTGGAGGGCTGGTGTCCTAAGAAGCAGATTCTGATTTCACCCTACTCTGCACTGAGTGAATATAAAGTCTTGTCTTTTGATGCACAAGAAGTTCTTTGGCTACAACAACTGTTGCCTGAAATCAATCCAATTACAGTCATAATGACACCAACGACTCTCTCCTACAAGGACATTAAGGTCACTTCTGCTCTTCCCACTCCCACGATAATTCATTGTGACAACAAGGGAGCTATAAAACTTGCCAAAAATCAAGTCTTTCATGCAAGAAGTAAGCACATTGGTATCCAACATCAATTCATGAAGTAGCATGTAGCTTTAAAAGAGATTGAAGCTAGATTCCTCCCCCACATCCAACAGATATTCTCACCAAGGCTCTTTCTGGGCTGAATTTTAATCAGCACAAGCATTATCTTGGTCTACAGCAGCACCACCTGAAGAATCTCTTTCTACAGGTAGATGATGAAGAATTAGATGTAGATAAGTAGTTTTTTAATCCTACGTTAAGCACTTTAGAGTAATGGAGGGTGTTAGAATAAGTTAGAGCCTAACAATAATCTTAGAGTGATAATATAACAGAAGACTTGACAACTCTCTCCGGTTCCATAGAATGTACAATTATCCATTACACTTCCGTTATAGACTACCGATGTAGACTACACTATAAGCGCAAGCATTCTTCCTGATTAAAACAGTCACAAATCAGCGATTCCAACATTCCGTGTATATTGTTCAATATAATTTTCACTCAAAGACGTGACGACATACTAGCGTGTGGTTTGGAGTCCAGAAGCAGATGCCTAGCACTGAATTTGCAGATTCACATTCTACGACACGGCTATCGACCACATGATGCAGCAGCAAAGATTCAATGCGTCTGACCCTCCGAGATACACCTCCAAGTTGAGGTTGTTACTCGTCTTCCCAGCAGAACAGAGTGTGGGGTTTCGATCCGCTAATTCCAGTAGACGTATAAAATTGCTTTCGAGATGCAGGCTACTTTCCTCGTTGATCATCTTCTTCCCGACGCGGGGCTACAATCTAGGGGAGAATTCCACAACCCACAGTTGTGACCTTTTTTCGGTTATTGAGTTAAAATGAAAACGCTACGTGTGGAGCTTTCCTCTCCTTTAAGGTTCTTCATTCAACGCCCATACCTTAACACATTTGTTCATGGGTATCACTATTGGTTGTTACTGATGTATACCACTTCCGAATACAGATAATGATTCCAAAAGAATCAATCACCGGCCTTTCGTAAGTATATTACTCGATACAGGTATCATTATTGGGAGTTAGAACTCTGTAGTTCAAGAATCCCCACACAAGAACAAGCAGCAAAGATTCAGTTCTGATTTGATGACGCACATCAAATCATCACAAAGTGATGCGAGACGACTGTCCAATTTTCAGAACACACACACAAAGTTATGAGGCATCCAGAGGTAAGAAAACGTTATGCACTTTGTGTCTGTAGACCCCAGTACCACGCTCTGTACATCTCTCCGGGGATTTCGTTCAAGTGATGCCCACAAATTCGCGCACAGCGCATCTATGAAACCATTGAAGGACGGAGATTCCAGGGGCGTAGACGTTGCCAAATAGAGAAGATGCGAGGTACCCATATTGCATTTGTGAGACAGACAGGGCACGGAGTTAATATTCTCAAGTCGTCGAATGAGGAGAATGACAATTGGTCATCCATCAATTGTGTAAGAATGCGTTTGATTTCATAAGAATATTTCGACCTTTTCCTAGAGTAACTTAGGCTACGTTGAACGAGTTGATCGCTCCTTCCACGAATTTCTTGGCTCCCTTGAACCACCTCTTGTCACCAGCCTGCGCCTTCATGACGTACAACTTTCCAGAGTCGATGGTGGCAATGATAAGCTGGTGCTTGCCTCCCTCGTCACCATCGGCTGTGCGAGTGAGGACGCTGATGTAGAAGTAAGTTTTCCCGTTAGACTCCTTCACCTCAGACTCTAGGATTGCGGCCGTAGACACTGCATTGTCCTTGAATCCTCCCTGTACATGGAACAATTCCACCTTTAAGCACAGCCTCTTCACAAGATACCATTCAGTTCCAGCACAAAGGAAATCAAAACCTGGGAATGACTTCGTAGATCCAAGACCACAGGGATCGCCTCGGGCCGATTCTTACCTCAGATTCAGTCAGTCCGGAGTAGCTCTGCTTTCCGAGCAGGTAAGATAGCTGCAAATGTGGACGCCAGGATTGCATGTCAGAGAGGATAAAACAATCGATGCACTTGAGTTGCGTTACGAAATCTGGACCCGGGATAAGCACAGCAATCGAAGGGAAAAGAATTGAAGAGCAACTCCGCGTGACTGCTACATATATATATCTCCAATAATTACTCCACCAGCAGTGAGATAAGCCATAGTCAGGACGACATAATCCACTCCCCTCTCTAGCAGGGTCTGGATCTCGAAAGGGGGTATGACTCACAGAATTCAGCAGTTCCTCGGGTGATCCATAGTCCTTGATTGAGGATTTCTCGGCCTTGAGAACGCTGACGGAGAGGTTGTTGGTGGCATCAAAGTTGTCCTCGTATCTGACAACCTGCCCGGGGAACTCGATCTCCTTACTAGGGTTCCACTTGGCCGGAATCTCCACGGAGAATCCCTCACCAGAGTATGGAATGAATCCGCTTTGCTTCTTCAGAGAACCGAAAACATTTGCTGCACAGTTTTAATTTCCTGGGGTTCAGTTAGTCATCTTACAGCATTCAACGATGGCCCAGCTGCAGATTACTTCCTTCTCGCTGCTGGCAGCTGAATGGGACTCATTCGAGAGTGCATCCAGAAAGCAAAACGAACGACGACCCTTTCAGACACATAAAATCTCAGAAACTTCATACACGCCCGACGCCCGGGCTTCGTGCCTGCGAGCTAATTTCTCCGTGACAGGGCAAAGAGTGCTTCAATCCGCTCACTAGGACTTGTTCTCAGAATCGGACATTGGAGCGCAGTAGGATGGCAGATTCTCGAGGGAATTTTTACCGGCTTCTCCGTAAGCAGCGCTGGCGGGATTGACGCGGCTGCTCACAGCTGCAACACCAGCGAGCAGAGAGAGTGCCAATCGGCGGGAGACGGGAGCCACCTTCTCGTCCGAGCTCTCAGCACGACAGCTGACGACGCCCACGGACTTGGTGACGAAGGGAGCCACCTTCACGGGAGCAATGACAGCCACGCCATTCACAGAGCTGCGGGACGAGCTGAGGCTCGCGGAGGCGAAGGTGGCGACTGAGACCGAGGCAGCAGTGACAGCAGCCATGGCTCCAATTGCCTCCCGAACGATGTAGGTCCGTGCTGCTGCAGATGGACTGGGTCAGTTGTGGGATGGATCGGTCGAGCAGACAGACACCAGATGCTCTGTACCCTCTCGACTCTATGCCCCCTGGCCTCTGGGACCGAACGTCGAGCAGGGTCGCGAGAGACGGGCCCTTCGAGATAGGGTCATATAAACCAATGGCGCTGGTCCCGAGCTCCACCGGATAAGGCAGCACCACAAATTCCTCTGTTTTTCACTCTCCTCGGTCAATTATATTACTCACTCGTGTTACCTGTCTGAATGCTGACCCGTCTCTCTGCATAGATAGGAATTCATTGCTATGTCCCTACTTCCGATCCACTGCAGAATATCTGTCAGCAATGTTTCATAATAATAACTTTCACGTTGATAATCACTTTTAAGTCGTGTTCAACTGGTTAGTCTAAATTACAAGCAGAGGGAAGTTACTGTCGACCGAAGACTGGGCATGGCTCCTCTCTCCCTCTCTCTCTCTCTCTCTCTCTACCCCTGTACATTCTTTCAACGATACATGGACGTGGGGGATCAACTGATCAATTGTGCACGTGTGGATCCATATAAGTTTCATCGCTTTAGGTGGGCTCCCTGAGGCACCTCGTGGCAAATTGCGTGCTCTTCTCACTTCCTCATGCAGTGCAGAATTATGTACTAGCAGTAACCCGAGGCTGCGTAATTCCAGTGCTGGTGGACGAAGAGGGTACTGAAACAAGCGACGGGCTCAATTGCGAGGATCTCTCAAAGCGCTCTCGAAGCTCTCATCTAATGCGTACAACTTCAGCTCTTTCGATGATCGAGAATAACATTCTGAACCCTGTGGTCTTGAGCTTGAAACACGTGATGTAAAACTTGTAAAAAGCTCGTATACCTTTCGTAGCCACTTATATACTTGAATGCGACTAAGAGGGAGGGGAGAATCTATTTAAATAAATTGTACATTTTTTCCTAACGTATCTTGTATAAATTATTCACATAACCTTTATGGAGTAATCTTACGTGGAGCACTATAAGGTGTAATATGTAGTAGATTGTGCAGTTAGATTCTAAGGATATTGCAGTAGTGTGTATATTTTATTAACCATTGTGATTTCATCGGGGCTAGCCAGATCCTACCATTTTGGTTTCACACAGCAGGGAGGCTTTCCATCCAATTTCCATATTAGTAGGCTTTCTCGTTCCTTAGCGCCAATAACGACTTTGCAATTTCCTTTCTGTCTGTCCTAACAGGGCACTTACTTAATATGAAGGAGGCCTTTTTTCTCCCATGAGGGCTCAACCTCAACCACGAGGGTTCGAACCGTCGTTACATTCCGCCGCAAGGACGGTCAGAGAAGGACCGCGGGAGACGGTCAAACTCACGTGCCAAAAGTTCGCGTCAGAAAGACGTAAATGTCGGAAGGAGACGGTCGTCCGTCACCGGATTGGTTGGTCCAGGCTCCGGAGTCGTCGTTCGTCCGGAGCCGCAGTGGGAGACATTCATTGCCAGAGCAAGAAAGCGAGGAAGGCGAAGCGGAGCGGGAAGAGTGGATCCGTCGAGCAAGACGTGACTGAGTGTGGATCTGCCGTCGGCATTCATACTCGCCCAACTCGCGACCAGAAGATTTTGGTGGTCTTCTGTCGAATTCGCCGATCGCGACTATGCAGCAGGTAATTTCCATGGCATCCCTCACTTTGAATCGAACCGGTAGAATTCGCTTTTCGTGTTTGAGATCGTGTTTTGTTTTCTGCTGAGTGCGTTTGATTCGTGATTTTTCTCGTACGTGGCGTTGTTGTTCATTCTCGACTAGCCAGGGGGGAAGACTGCGTTTCATTCTCCGCGCAGCTGGCCGCATTTTTAAAATCGCTTCAGACTAGGGTTTTACCTCCGATTCTCGTTGTGCATTGTGGCCTTCTATCTGAACGGAACCCCATGTGCAGTTGCAAATCGAACTTATATCTGTACTTTATATCTGTACCCGGAAATCGTAATTTCCATATCGTTCTGAAGCTGCTGCAGCTTCGGTCTGTGTTGAATTGACAAGAATTGTAATCTGATCAAGTTTCTAATGAATTTGAATATCAGGGGGATGGACAAGAGACGGAGGTGACGTGGGACGATCAGCAGAATATCAACAAGTTCGGGCGTCTGAATAACAAGTTTCACGAGCTTGAAGATGAAATCAAGGCGAAGAAGGTAGCTCACCGACATTTTTGCTGTCGTGATCAAGGCAGTGTTGATTTTGTAGAATCTTTAGGATGAGAGATAAAAGGAAACAAATGCACACCTACATGCTCGTTCTCAGTGTAATGGCAAGGGAGGAGGTTTTCCGTTGAAAGCTCAACGTTTGGGATCGGTTTGCGGAGGATTCAATTTTAAATGAAGGATCCAAAACGGACAGAAACTGAATTTTAATTTGACTGCCACGCAATGACTGAGTACCTTCGCTGCTCAAAGTGTTCTGCTCCCGGCGAACTGAGATTTTTGTAGAGCTGTACGAGGAACCTTAGTAGAAAGCAAGTTTCCCTGTCTATTCCTAATCTTCCACTTTGTCAAAAAGGATTCAGGACTATGTGATGAATAATGACAGTAGCAAGCCTTTTGACCTTTGAGCTTGTCTTTGGTCTGTTGATTCACAGGATATGGCCGACAATCTCGAGGATGCAGGTAACGAGTTAATTTTGACAGACGAGGAAGAAATAAGATATCTGATCGGGGAAGTGTTTAGCCACATTCCTAAAGATGATGTCGAGACTCGCCTAGAGGCCCTGAAGGAAGAGAATGAGGAAGAGCTACGACAGCTGGAAGAGGAAAAGAAAGTTGTGCTAGCTCAGATGGCAGATTTGAAGAAGATCTTGTATAGTAAGTTTAAGGATTCAATAAACCTGGAAGAGGAGTGACTTGAGCTCTCTGCCCCCGCCTAATGGATATCACCAGCACAGGTCAATGTTATCAAGTTGTTGATGTTTTCTCTGAAATGTGGTATGGAGTTATCACGCGCTTTCCAGTTCATAAATTGCAATGCTGTTTACCAATGAGCTTTATTGTCAGAAACCGCCGAAAACAATAAACTGCACCAACCGTCTACTATCTAGTGATTCGCAATGAACTAATCAAAAACATGTCATTTTGTCATGAAAGTAGTTTTTAAGTTTCCCTAATCTTAGGACAGAAGCGGGAGAGCGATCTGAGTTGCCACTGTTCGATGTCGTTGACTCTGATCCCGACTGCAAGCGTTTTGTTCCGAGATCGACCTTCAAATGGGGATACGTACTGTCTTCATGTAATGAAGACTCACCAGATTCGCTCGTGCTGGTGTTCACTTTCGGATGACTGCTCTCGGTAATAGAGTCCAGACTGTCTTCACACAGAGTAACCGGAAAGTCTACCGAACTGTCACTGAGAACATCGGTTGCAGGTGAAGGCGCAGGTCTCATGTACACAAGGCTGTCAATGTCCAGATGGGTTGGCCCGCTGAGACCCCGGTGTATGCGACATCCAGTGAATCGATCTGCACTTCGTTCACGACTGTCGAAGTCCTTTTCTGAAGGTAGTCGAGAGAAATCAATTGAGTGAATGTCTCGAACATTTATCTGTGAAGTTACTCGAGAGCTGGGATCTGAGTGGTCACGAAAGAAAACTCTTGGTGGAGGTGTAGGATCTGGTGGGCTGCGGGGTATACGTAAGGCCAAGAACTCTCCATAGGAAAGGTTAGGTTGTGCTTGACTGAGCCCACTGTCTCGCTGAGTGCCGAAAGGAATCGTACTGTCCATCTGTCCACCGACCTCCCTCGCTCGAAGATGTGGCCTTTCGAGTCCTCGAAGGCTTGGAGAGTGATCTGAGAAGACGCTCTGACTCTCATAGAGCTCGGACTTAACCAACGTCGGGAACTGTGAAGCGCTTCGGGGGGGCTCTGAAGGCTCATTGCTCGGGATATCATGGGGTTCTAGAGGGCTGTCCAGATCGTGGGCATTCTCGTGGATTTGATTTCGTTGAAATTCAAGCTCCAACTCATCAGAAACGCGATCCCTGTCCAGGGGTGTCTCAGGCAGCAGAGGAGCTCGTGAGACGAGAGGCTCGCTATCGAGATACTTGACGGCTTGTGCGCGCCGAGATTTTGTTGATTTGTTGAGAGGTGCAATTGAGAATGAAAAGGGGCCAGGTCTCGAGGGCCTAGGCTTGCTGGTGGCTGGAGAGATCGTTACACTCGGTTCACGAAGCTTCTGCTCTGATGCCGCTTTCATCTCCGGTGTATCTGGGAACGTCGCCCGTATTCTGGCCAGAGCAGGCGACGCCGATGAAGTCGATGAATCTTCCAATTTCTTCGACAGAAACTCATCTTCCAGGAGCTGCGCAGCTGTCAATCTGTCCTTTGGATTTCTAACCAAGCATTTTTTCACAAACCTCTGAACTTCGAAAGACAACGAGCTTACGTCAGGAGTCTTCCGCGAGAGCTGAAGGACTCGCAACTCTTTTCTCGAACGCACATAGCCCCAGGGATCTTGTCCGGTAGCCATCTCTATGACAGTGCAGCCCAGAGACCAGATGTCTGAGGGAAACCCTTGGTCCAGTTCTGCCACCACCTCGGGTGCCATCCATGCGGCAGTGCCTTTCATAGCGCGTCGATGATCTTGATCCACGAATCTGGACCCACCGAAATCACAAAGCTTCACACCGTTTATTCCAACTAGGACATTGTCTGCCTTGACATCCCCATGGACAATCCCCTTACCGTGTAAATGATGAAGCGCCTCCACGATGGCCCTCGTGTACGTCTTGATCAGAGGTTCTCTTAACCGTCCTCCGAGCCTGTTGATGTGCTTGCGCAAAGAACCTCCGGGCAGGTACTCGAGAAACAGGTTCAGCATCCTCTTGCCATTCTCGTGAGAAAATGAGGAGCCAAGATATTGTACCACTCGAGGCGTTTCCAGCACTAGATAAATAGTGATCTCGTTCATTATTTCCTTCGTTTTGTGTTTATCGTCGCAATTGCAAGATTTCACCACGAACAGCTTTCCAGTTTCTTCCTCCACTGCTAAATACACGGAGGACTGGCTGCGTTCCAGAAGCTCACTTTTGGTCCACGATCGCAACATCCTTCATAATTTTGTGGCCTGCTTTTCGAAGCAGCGAAATTTTGAATTGTGAGTTACCGTATTTGACATTCAATGTGTTGGCGAGTATGAAGATTTGCACGTGGAGCATAATGGCATGTTATCGACTTTTCACATTATACATTCAGAATATGTGTTCATCTGCGCCTACATTCGTACGTATCAATATGTGGAACAGATGACAGAATTCAGCGGACCTTCCAATTTGCTGCTAAGTAATGGACATATAGAAGCTAATAGTGACTGATAATTAACCTTCACTCATAATGTCCACTGCGTACTAAAGATAATAAATCAGGTACCCGGTGCATATTTAACTCACGATGTATATTATAACCAGAAGAAATATCTGATAAGTCGGTTATGATCCGAGAATGATTCGTTCGTTCTCCAACGTTCCTGCAACGATGATATTCACGTTCATTTTTATCAGCGCAATTGACAGTCCATGGTCTGGATAACACATGCTGCTGACTTTCACACTTCATCCTCCCTGCTCGTTGTTCTATTCTGCACGTACTGGACGAAATATCTTCCATTTTTCAACCGATTGCCTACTTACAACTTTTGTACACACGAATTGGCAGCACATTGTTCTCACAACTATCCTCGGAAAGTAAAAAAAGCAGAACAATCTGTTGACTAAGCAAGCCCAGCCAGACATACAATGTAGGGATGTTTGTTGAAAATAGATTAGACGACAGCAAGACAAATCATTCCATCACAAGACCAGCTTGTATACAGATAGTCGAGGTTGTATTTCGTCTGTAATCATGAGGATCTGAAACCGATCCTCAACTGCTGCGTTACATCATTTCCTACTTAAGAGCTACTCCGAGAAAATAGTGCACATTTGTACAACGATTGATCTAACAAAAGATCCATGTGAATGTAAGAATTTACTGGCCACCACGAAGACGGAGCACCAAGTGCAAAGTAGATTCCTTTTGGATATTATAATCCGCTAGAGTTCTTCCATCCTCGAGTTGCTTTCCTGCGAAAATCAACCTCTGCTGGTCTGGGGGGATTCCCTCCTTGTCTTGAATCTTCGTCTTCACGTTGTCGATAGTATCTGAGCTCTCAACCTCAAGAGTAATGGTCTTACCTGTCAAGGTCTTCACGAAAATCTGCATTCCTCCCCTCAGCCTCAAGACCAAATGGAGGGTAGACTCCTTTTGAATGTTGTAGTCGGCCAAGGTACGACCGTCCTCAAGTTGCTTTCCTGCAAAAATCAACCTCTGCTGATCTGGAGGGATGCCTTCCTTGTCCTGAATCTTCGTTTTCACGTTGTCAATCGTGTCAGAGCTCTCCACCTCAAGAGTGATGGTCTTACCGGTCAATGTCTTCACAAAAATCTGCATACCACCTCTCAGCCTCAAAACCAAATGGAGGGTAGATTCCTTTTGGATGTTGTAGTCGGCCAACGTCCTCCCATCCTCAAGTTGCTTTCCAGCAAAAATCAACCTCTGCTGATCTGGAGGGATGCCTTCCTTGTCCTGAATCTTCGTTTTCACGTTATCAATCGTGTCAGAGCTCTCCACCTCAAGAGTTATGGTCTTGCCGGTGAGGGTTTTAACGAAGATTTGCATACCTCCTCTCAGCCTCAGGACCAAATGCAAGGTAGATTCCTTTTGGATGTTGTAATCGGCGAGTGTCCGACCATCTTCAAGCTGTTTCCCGGCAAAAATCAATCTCTGCTGGTCTGGAGGAATTCCCTCCTTGTCTTGAATTTTGGTTTTCACATTGTCAATGGTGTCGGAACTCTCAACCTCCAAAGTAATCGTCTTGCCAGTCAAGGTTTTGACGAAAATCTGCATACCTCCCCTCAGTCTCAACACCAGGTGGAGGGTGGACTCCTTTTGGATGTTGTAGTCGGCGAGCGTGCGGCCGTCCTCCAACTGCTTACCAGCAAAAATCAACCGCTGCTGGTCTGGTGGAATTCCTTCCTTGTCTTGGATTTTGGTCTTCACATTGTCAATAGTGTCGGAACTCTCAACCTCCAAAGTAATCGTCTTGCCAGTCAAGGTTTTGACGAAAATCTGCATACCTCCCCTCAGTCTCAACACCAGGTGGAGGGTGGACTCCTTTTGGATGTTGTAGTCGGCGAGCGTGCGGCCGTCCTCCAACTGCTTACCAGCAAAAATCAACCGCTGCTGGTCTGGTGGAATTCCTTCCTTATCTTGGATTTTGGTCTTCACATTGTCGATGGTGTCGGAACTTTCAACTTCCAAAGTAATCGTCTTGCCAGTCAAGGTTTTGACGAAAATCTGCATACCTCCCCTCAATCTCAACACCAGATGGAGAGTGGACTCCTTTTGGATGTTGTAGTCAGCCAGCGTTCGGCCGTCCTCCAACTGCTTACCGGCAAAAATCAACCGCTGCTGATCTGGTGGAATTCCTTCCTTATCTTGGATCTTAGTCTTCACGTTGTCGATAGTATCGGAGCTTTCAACCTCCAGGGTGATAGTCTTCCCTGTAAGAGTCTTGACGAAAATCTGCATACCTCCCCTCAATCTCAAGACGAGATGGAGAGTAGACTCCTTCTGTATATTATAATCGGCCAGCGTTCGGCCGTCCTCCAACTGCTTACCTGCAAAGATCAATCTCTGTTGGTCTGGAGGAATACCCTCCTTATCTTGGATCTTGGTTTTGACGTTGTCGATGGTGTCGGAGCTTTCGACCTCCAAGGTGATGGTCTTTCCTGTAAGCGTCTTCACAAATATCTGCATGCCTCCCCTCAACCTCAGCACAAGATGCAGAGTCGACTCTTTTTGGATGTTGTAGTCCGCGAGGGTACGACCATCTTCCAACTGCTTGCCTGCAAAGATCAACCTCTGCTGATCTGGAGGGATTCCCTCCTTGTCCTGAATTTTGGTTTTCACGTTGTCAATTGTGTCAGAGCTTTCGACCTCCAACGTGATGGTTTTCCCCGTGAGCGTCTTCACGAAGATCTGCATGCCTCCCCTCAATCTCAGAACAAGATGAAGCGTGGACTCTTTCTGAATGTTGTAGTCGGCCAGCGTCCGGCCGTCCTCTAGTTGTTTGCCGGCGAAGATCAACCTCTGCTGATCTGGGGGGATTCCCTCCTTATCCTGGATCTTAGTCTTGACATTGTCGATGGTGTCAGAACTCTCGACCTCGAGGGTAATGGTTTTCCCCGTCAGAGTTTTAACGAAAATTTGCATACCTCCTCGCAGCCTCAACACAAGATGCAAAGTGGACTCTTTTTGGATGTTGTAGTCGGCCAGCGTGCGACCGTCTTCGAGTTGTTTACCGGCGAAAATCAACCGCTGCTGGTCAGGGGGAATGCCCTCCTTATCTTGAATTTTCGTCTTCACATTGTCGATCGTATCAGAGCTTTCGACCTCAAGAGTGATGGTCTTCCCCGTGAGGGTCTTGACGAAGATCTGCATCCCTCCACGCAGTCTCAGAACCAAATGCAGAGTGCTCTCCTTCTGGATATTGTAGTCGGCCAAACTGCGACCATCCTCGAGTTGCTTGCCGGCGAAAATCAACCGCTGCTGGTCAGGGGGGATGCCCTCCTTGTCCTGGATTTTGCTCTTGACGTTGTCGATGGTATCGGAACTCTCGACCTCCAAAGTGATCGTCTTCCCTGTCAGAGTCTTCACGAAGATCTGCATCTTCTCCCGACGACAACCGAACGACAGATCGAGCGAGCACGAGCAGGGCGGCAATGGATCGAGGGCCGTGTCCCGGCGAGGATCGAGCGACGGTGGAGCGCCGCGCGCCGAACAACAGATCAGAGAGAGAAAGAGGGAGGAGGAGACAGAGAGAGGGAGAGAGGAGAGGAATGTAAATCTGGTGGCGTTTCATGCTCTTTATATCGTTCTTCCCTTGCCCCGAGCTCTGCCGTCTGCCCGACCTTTGCCCTCCGGACCGAGACTGATCACGACGACACTCGTCCACTGAGTGACTGACACACTGACCGCCCGACGGTACTCGGCAACTTCGCCTTCAACTTCGCCTTCTGCCCGCTGTGACGTTGCTGGTGGGACCGGTTCTGCCGTCACTCCCGGTTCACCTCACCCCACCTTCCTCATCTCCCCCTCTGCTTGCCGGTCACGCACCCTGCCTGGACGGGGGCCACGTTCTTCTCTCTCTTTCTTGTACGTTCTGGTATGTTCCATCGTATCGGTAAAAATGTCGCCTAATAATGGTTCCATACGAAAATAGTTTTTATGTATTATCGTTAGTATAGTCCCAACACTTAAGATATACAATTTGAAATATTCACTTTAAGCAACAAAAACTTGAAACTACAAAAGTAACCATTTTCCGCGTTGTTGTTATTTTAGTGGACATGCCGCATAATAATGGAATAGTGTTAATGTCTATTCGTTATTATAGTCCCAAAATTAAAGATATATAGTTTAAGAAACAAAATTAGAACTACAAAAATAGCCATTTCTGCGTTTGTTGTTATTTTAGTGGAACGGATAGGCTACTACAAACGGTTCTTACTGGTTCAAATGCTCTTGGTGATTTTGCGTAAACTGAGGGCTGACGTGACTTTGAGTCGGAAGGGGATGGGAGGGGAGAGGGGGAGTTCTCTTTTGCAATTCTTTTCCGCACCTGGATGATCTGGACTGTAGTAATTATACATGGATTTGTATCAGTTGAGATTGAAAATCCCACGTGTAGTTAGTGTTAATTTAGAAGAATTGTACATTGCTGCGTTCCCCACATTCCATTTAAATGGAAACCTAAGGATCCGGGTTTCCAGAATGCGGTCTAGCACACTGATCGATGTTTTAATTCCAAATCCTGTGTTATCATGCTTTCGATTCTCCACTTCAATATACAATCGGAGCGAAGCCCTTGGTTTCTATTCGGTTTCTTCATTGATTTGGTCTTCTAATCCTAATTGATCTTACCTAGCCCGCCTTCGTCATTTCCTTGAATCTACATTATCGGATTCAGGTGAGAGTTTTAGGGTAAATTTTTCTTGTGAAGCGTTCTAGACTTGAGGTCCTGGAACCGGACAAGGAAAAATTTGTTTATATCACCCACATAGAAGTTGGGGCAAAGAGACGTCATCTAAAGTGTAGTATCATTAATTTATGTGATTTTAATGAAAATATATATATTCTGTATAGGATAATGCATGTATCCATGTTACTTTGCGACATTTTGTCAGACTTTTTACTTAACAAGTGACATCCAAAGATAGTGACATGACATAAGACAAATTTGGAAAATGTCGCTCAAAATCTCATCAACTTCGACTACCAAACTAACTTTTTGTCGAAGAAAACAAAGCTTCAGAAAAAGTTTCCAACCTTGTCTAGAAATATATTCCACAGAATCTTACCACCGTCAATAGTGAAGGAGGTAAACCTTGGGCGTACATAAATCCTGACAAGAAACTCTGACAATTGAAATCGCAGCCAATTCGAGAATCTTCACCGAAGAACCGAATTTTTCGAACACTGACAACTGACGACTAACATCTCTCTTCCGTTCCAGAACAGTACAGTACCGTCATGGAACAGCTTGAGGCTCAGGTTGAGGAAGTCAAGAGGAAGATTCCTTGTTCCTGGACCTTGTTTCGAAAGTTATCGTATTGTACAGGCTCCTGGATCGTCTTTATCGTGGCTGCCCGGACTGCCCGGTCGTCCTTGCCGATAACTCACGACGACCTGCCGTCATGTTGGGGGAAAAGATTGTGGGTGTCTTATTTAGCAGCAGGCCACGTTTCCTTCACCGTTCAGCTCGATAGAATAATATCATATGATATATAATTGGTGTTCAACATGTCAACACTGCCAGCTGGGTAGAACAGGCCACCAACTATCCTCGTAGCATCCGATCCCTTCAAGTTGTCTTCAAGTTGTCGATTCCTCTCGGATTGCAGGAGACTTTGAATCATGAAGATAAGTTATTTCTATCAATAACGTTCTCACCAAATTGTGTATATTTTATTCCATTCATCATTGGTTGTTGTACCAAATTTAGAAGTATAGTTTCTTCCTCTTTTGTGCAACATGGTAGATAATTGTGCTGTCCTAACGGATGGATCATGTAGTCTCGCAATCAAGTTATTATGAGGTAAAACACAGGTTTCAACCAAAATATGTTAAGGGATGTAATTGTAAAAGTGTCTCTGGACAGCGATTTTTTTTCTAGATAACGAGTATTTTACAGTGATGCGAATGTTCCTTGGACATTACTAAGTACTTGACGATTGTTATCAGGGTTATATTTTAAAACTCCATGAACGAACTTTTAAATAAAGTGAGCTTTGGAGGTACTGTCTCGTTCCACTAGCTATTGATTATATATTCATGTTGAGTAGCTCATACTTAAGCACAAAGTCTAAGAAAAGTTTGCTGAATGTCATTCCATTGTGTAAAAACAGTGTGTTGATACTCCAGCTTGCACAATTGAATGATGTCAAAGTAGAAGAGGTACTGGTTTTCAGCCGATACCGCCTACTAAAGTGCTATTTAATATTTTTTCCATCCAGTTAAGGTATAGATGGAAAATAGATATGGTTCAGCCTAACCCAGACCTCATCATCTATGGCAAATGCCAATTTTGCCAAAATTAATTCAATTTTGGTAATTTTGGCAAAATTTGCATGATGTGTATTTTAATGTCAAAAAGTGAATTTCAACCATTGAAAGTCGCTTGTCGTTGCCATCGTTTGGACGTTTGAAAAGGATCTTTAAAGCCTCGAATTGCTTTGCCTGCATGATACCAGCCAGCGCCATGCTGATCAGGCTTGTGCGAATGTAGTTCTTTTTCCACTTTATCATCAAAAAATTGCTTTCAACAGCCGCCGTGTTGGGAAACGCCATTGCCAATTCACCACAAAACTGGCGTAGACCACTGAATCTCGCCTTGACAACATCGCACGCGTCTTTAAAAAATGTGTTTTCATCATGCTGATTGAATGTCTTTGAGACATTTGGTTCGTGATCGTATGCCGCACGCAAATGTCGATGTTCTTTCTCCACATGATCAATCTAATGTTAAGACCGATGTTTTGAGAGAGGAACGCGATATGGATCCAACACATCTTGAATTAATGCGGCGGAACAAATCTTGATGAGATCCACGGACATAACAGTTGTTGAATCCAACTCTTGTGCATCTTTGTTCGAATCACGCTCGGCTTGTACCTACGGTACATTAGCAACAATTGAAATGTCAAAGATGGTGATTGCTTTCAAAATTGTTTGTTTGTCAATGTTAGAGATCATTGTACAAGCCACAAACCCAATATCCCTAATCTTGGATGTGCATGATGATAGAATCTTTCAAAATGAACCAATCGCTTCTCGTGATGATGATCAATGGATCAAATTCTTCCAACACCTCATCGGTGGCGGGCAGATTTCTAGATTTCCAAAGATATCAATGATCAATTTTGACATTTCTTGTCGTTGCTGCGAGATCACGATGTTGGAAGCCTAAATCTTGGTGAACGTGATTGCAATCTTGTCAAACAATGATGAAATAGCAACCGCGATAACCCACCACATTCTCGACAATGCTTGGATGGAGTGTTTCCTAGCGTTGTGGATCATCAATCGGCGATAATTTTGAAGAAGCCAATGTAGAATGCTACCAAAAGCAACCGAACACTTTGTGTCTTTCGGGCATTTGAATCCCATGTCTATGATCAGATTTTGCTACACTCGTAGATGATTAGAATAGGCATGAACTACTTTGTAGAACTTCTAATCCAAAACATCTTGCATGGCGTTCTTGACAACCATGTCTAATTGATGTGGGACGCCTTAAATCCGGAGTACAAGGTTGTTGCACTCTTTTTTGAGCAGGTTGACAACTCTTTTATGTCGATTGGTCATTGTGTTCTCTTCGTCAGATCTGATCAAAATCAATTTGGAATGTCAATATGGACTAAGAGTATCGAGCATGATTTTGATGAGTTTCAGGTAGTTGATGACCAGATGTCATTCAAAGAATGGAACTAGAACCACATGGAGATTGTAAAACACCCCTTCAATGTAGATTCAAATACGTTAATCCAGTTGAGATACTTCCATATGCGAGCTGGCGTGACCTAGCAATGAAAATGCCCATACATGTTTTTGATTCATAATGATGTACATCGACCACAAGACAACGTTAAAAAGCACTTAGACAAACTGTTTCACCATGTGATCGTTCAGGCCTGCAAGCTTTGAATTCTTACATAGATTCCGATGTTGGGTGATAACAGCTGCAGTTTGGCGAAACAACAATCCAACAAACACATGTTCAATTGCAAGATTGAAACGCATTGAGTTTTTGATGATGATTAGATGCAATACGTCTTCGAGAAACTTGAATAGTTTCATGTTTTTTATTCATAATGGTAGACATTGACTACATGACGACGGTGAGAAGCACTTAGACAAACTTCCCCACCATGTAATTGTTCAGGCCTGCAAGCTTTGAATTCTTGCACAAGTTCTGATGTTGGGTGATAACAGCTGCAAGCTGGCAAAACGACAATCCAACAGACACATGTTCAATTGCAAGATTGAAAAGCAACGAGTTTTTTATGATGATTAGGTACTATCCGTCTTACTAAAACTTGAACAATTTCATGGCGTTCGCTTTGGTAATTGGTTTTCTAATCGTCATTTTCCGCATCTTCCATGGGATTGAAAAACAAAGGCACAATAATATTGTCGACAATGACTGGTAGCAATATAGCAAACGTTAGGCTGTCACGGTCCTTGTCGAGAAATGCGTTGATTCCCATCGCCTCCTTCTTGTTGAAATATGCCAGTTTGTTTGCACCAGAAAGAGTATGGAATTTCGTTCATTCATCAATGTGTTGTGATTGCATATGGCTTTTGTAACATTCAAGTCAAAAAGTAAACTGAAACAATTGCACATTCTTCGTGCGTTGATTCTTAAAGGCTGGGCCATCGCGACTCTCACGTCCGATTGTGCACGTAGATATGCATTTGAATGTCTTAATGGTTCCATTTGGCACACCTTGAACGGGACTAAGGCCGAATTTGATTTTATGCTTCTTCTGAAAGGAGGTTTGGCGATTTATGATATCCAAAAATGACAGGTTGAATAGACATTGGACTGTTGTAATGGTTACATTTGATGCATGTTGAACGGGACAAAGGTCAAATTCAATTTTATGCTTCTCTTGACGACTCATGATACCAAAAAATAACAGATTTGTCGTTGAAATTGAACAAACCTCTAAGTTGCCCTCACTATTATGGCCACAAAGGCGGCTATTGAACAACCCGCTCTCGGCTATTGTGACTATTGAATAGCAGATAGCCACATAAAGTCAGAAACTCAGAAGTAAAGACAATCACTTAATTTTGGCAACTTTGAGTTTTTATTTTTGGCATTAAAAAAAATGCCAAATTTTATGAAGCCTTGACAAGCGGTTCTATTGAAAGATTATTTTAAGACGTAAGGAAATGGAAAATTAGTAGTGTATGTTGGTTATGATATTTGGCAAGAGACTAGTGTCTATTTTCCAATGAGCTCGATTATTAGTGATGCACGAATCTATGCTAATGAAGGAGAAAGAACAAATGCTAGATTTTGGAGTGTTTATGGGGAGATTGAAGAATAGTCTTCTACTAAGCAATAACAAAGAGAACAAGTTGGAAGAGTTGACTTGTTTGTTTCATACATGATAAACGAATGAATTGATCATCAAGCAACCGTGCTTGTTGATGGAAGACCTTGATGCTTAAATAGTGTGATTTTTCAAAAAAATATATTATCAAAGTGAATATGCATAAAATTAAGAAGACATGGCAGCCTTTGAAAGAGAAATATCAGTTATTTGAAGAAAAAAGGATAATTTTAGAAAGATGACTTATTGACATTATCAGACATGTGGTCAACTACTTGAGAACCAAGTTTCATCTTATAGTCTTAGAAGGTAAGTCATCCAAGTGTGAGGCTTGATATCTTGTTATCATTCAGCCCCCTTTGGAGCTCCCACAAAAAATGTATGCATGCACAAATGACTTACATATATTCTTTGAATACAAATAAGATGCAATGATTTATTTCAGATAATTTAGAGATATTGTTGATAAATGATACTTTTCTCTAGAACTTAAGTGCCATTTGATATACATTTGTTCAATATCGTCCGCCAATCCAACAATTTTTTTTGGCATAGTTGAGCCATCAAATGTATACTTATCATGCTTGAAAAACTTTGATGAACGTACTATGAGTATTTTTGGTGTCACAACCAAACAAATTACACTCGACTATGTGGCTAGGACTTTCTCTTGTCAAGGTTGCAAGCTCTTGGATTGTTGCAAGATTCTGCATTAGGATTTTTTGATTTACTTGAGTTAGTGTTTTCACATTAATGAACTTATGCTTGGAAGTTTTTCATCCATCCATATCTTTATTTCTCACTTGTGACTGAGATAATACTCTGGATAATGTAGTTGTTTTCATGATTTGATGTTTACTCAAAAAGCGAAGGCTCGCTATTCTTGAATTACTAAAACGTGATGGTTGCGTAACGCGTTGAATGACATGAGATTGAATATTTCGTTTGATAACGTTGGAATGCATTTTAATCGATTAGGATTAGGGCATTAAAATAACTGGTTTGAAAATTCTACTCACGACCTTAGATGTGATGGCTACATATTTCACAGTGATCGATTAAACTTCTTATATAGATGACGATGGGAGCCAAGGTCTCCCAGTACAATTGTAGTCAGAAATATCATGTCTTTGTTTCTCTATTGGAGCAAAAAGTGGAAGAGACTAGACAATAAATCAACGTTCGAGGCGGCATGGGGTATCAGATCTTTCTTTGGTATATTGTGTAGCATATCTTTCTCAGCTTTACATGTACCTTAGCTAATGCTTTACACAATAAATAAATCGAGATAAGTCAAAGGTATCATGTTATGCTATTTATTTTGACCTCTTGATTATGATCCTTCGTATATTTGAGATGATGGAGTATATTTTTTATCATTAAGACACTCTCGGTATAGGGATACAGCCACTTGTTTCCTATTAAGTTTCACCCTCGCAAGGTTTGATGGGTCTTCCCATTTTGTGTGTAATAATACTCTGGTGCCTTTAGTCGAAAGCCCTAGACACCCAAAGGCATCATGTGGGAAAAATGTCTACCTCAAGAAGCTCTATGAAGTTCTTTGAGATCACGGAAACTGTGCTGCCGGATGCCCCAGCCGGACGGACGGACGGCCGGACGAAGAGCTGGTCTAAGGCGAGTGAGTCGCAAGACGAGGAAATGCGGCATACGACGTGGAGCTGCGGGGATGGAGTCGATGGTACGAGGACGAGCACAGAGAAATCAACGAGAGAAGCGTTTTCTCGAGTGCGCGAAGTGAATGAATGAATTCCGTTGAGGCGAGAGGCAGAGCAGGATGATGATCGCCCACCGAATTCTCGTGCGTAGGACCTGATCCCGGTAGCTATGCTGATCGAAGGCGAGTCTACGAGACTTTGTGGCTTTTCGAGGAATGAGGCCGCCAGCAATGGGAGTCGGATCGACGATGAAGCTTTGGAGCTAGTTGAGGCAATTGTGGCGTGTGCGCCTCGTTGTTGGCAGATCGGAAGAAGATGAGCGATACTGCGTTTGCCTGCGACGTGAGGCTCCCCAATTACTACTACTGCGGGTCGCGCTGAGTGCTTGCATGGACGAAAATTTCAAAACCTTCTCCGGCGCCAGTAGATCCTGGGCATAAGGTCGGTTCTCCGTGTCTTATTCTAGATTTGGGTCATGAAAACCCGGTCCAATGGATGGCGAATTCTGAAAAGTATGAGAATTGTATTCCTCTGTCGATCATTTTCATGCATTCTCGAAAACTTTGTTTCCTCGGTTTAGATATGGAATTTGACTGCAGGTATTTGCTTTGGGATATCAAACTCATATTTGTGCTTCTCAAGATAAGTTAGAAGACCACGCGATTTTCAGCGAGTTCTGTTTTAAAGGCCTGTGATCACTGGCACTCGCTAGTGTAGGTTATTGCATGGTGGGCTTACACATGCAGACATTTACTGCTCTATTAAAGTCTTTACGTGCTCCATGAGGGCGATCGTCGTTGTCAGTAAGATTCTAGCCCTCTCTTTCCACATATTGAAGCGTCACAGTAGTTATATGAACTTCGAAAAGCGAGCTTTTGTCGATATTTTTCGAAGAAAATTTGCAGCTCTATCTGCTTTTAAAACTGTCTCAAAGCCGATCAGAACTATGGCACTGGTTCTCCCTCTAGTAGTCCGCGGATTCATCTTGCAACTCTCCGTTTGTTTGAGAGACCCTGGTACTTCTGCTGTTGTCAATCCATCTTACTCTACTACTTCGAGTGGATTTTGAGTTTTATCTCGTTTGTTTGCTCTCTTTTTAAATTTTGGACAACTAGTAGGCCGTGGTCCCGTATGAAAGTCCTTACTGACATGAGATTTTTTCATAAGACGTAATTTGAGATTTATTTGAGCTTCTCCGTAATTTAATAAATATAAGATGTACACTCAGTAATGACTATGCTCTTGCTTTTACTCTGACCCTATTGTGCATCGTCCTTGAAATTTTTCTGATTACAATTGGTCATTCTGGCTTATTCAGTGGAGTTCGATATCTTGTGAGGGCCACACATGAGAACTCAGGGGGTTACCCCTAAACTAAAGTCTCACGGAGCAGAGATGTTCAGAAACTTGTGGTCGATGTAGGACATTCTGTATATGGACAATAGGTACCCTGACACTGAAATATTTGATTGATCTTTAGATAAAATGGCTTGCAACACTTCAACTTTCCCCAAACCTTTCAGGACTTTGAAATGTGCTGTCTTAAAAAATGAGGCATGAACTTAGGTCTTCAGCTATCATTTTATTGTTTATCTTGTTACCGCTCACTGGTTTGTGAAATCAGAATTTGAATCTGACGAAAAGGTACTTACTGTCCAGGATTAACTAAAATTCTCCTGGTAACAATTGTGGGGAACAAAATTTCGTTGAAATGTATTGTATCAATCAAAGACAGAATTGTAATAGCAACAACAGGTTATAAGAAGGTGAAGCAGATACTTAAGTCTTCTTTCTGATATTTTACTACTTCTAATAAGCTCTTGACTACCTCTTTGATAAGATCTTGTTGCCTTCTCATTTAGTAAAACCGATTCAATTAGAGTGCCCCTTATGCTGGTTAAATTGTCTTTCTCACATCTATCTTCATTCAAAATCTACATCAGATTCCTTTTAACTTTATGTTGCGCTGATAGAACGTGTCAATTTATTTACAGTTACGATGTTATCACCACTTTCATTCTGCGCATGGACAAAGGTAGATGCCTTTTCCATGATTGCGAGGGTCCAGTCCTAAGTACCGCTTCCAATGCTTGTCACATCTCTGTGTGTAGGATCGCTAGTTTTATACTGTCCACGATGGGATGGTTTTCGTTTTGTCTTATTTCAGGTTTATAGCTAGTCGAATCGAAAGATATTTTCAGTCCGAAGCGTAGACAGGAAATTTCTGGCTCCGATTGTTGTATGCCAGAAAACTTTGTCCGTTTCAAGATTTCTCACGCACTAACTGTCTGCTGCGGAAAACGCTGCTAAAGTCGCGCAGGTCAGCCATTAGTGCAAGTGCTTGGTTGTCAATGAGATTAGTTCGAGGATTTACGATGGTGACTAGGACACTGTTGAATAGCTCACTTTTGCTCAGTATCGTACACACTGGTCTTTTGTTCTCGTCTTGTTTACAGTTCTTCTTGAATGCGATTATTTACTGTATGTTATCCTTTCTCTATTGTGACCTTTACCTCTCTGATTTTTACAAAGAAACTATTCTACATCCACATCTCTCGCCCTGTCTTCTTGTTCAGCGTACTTAGTTTGTTTCTCTCGTGTTACAATTACGCCTTATTCTATCTCTCGGTGCCTAATTGTACACTAGCTATTATCTACTGACCAACATTTTTTTTAAATGATTTTCACTCAACTGTTACCTCTACTTCAAGGTATGAACGTTTGAAAAAGTATAGATACTTAGACATAAACTGCTTTATTCCAGCTGTCGAACGGGATGATAAGCAGTTTCTTACAACACCTTCTTACCACAACCATCGTTTTTAAATATATGGGTTCAGCTGAACTGAACTGGGGTACCAGTAGTGTTGCTGAAGGGTTGGTTGTTTGAGCTTTGGGATCAATGTATTGATTCAAACACTCGTAGGTTATCTCTTTTGCAGCTTTTGTGTTGAGTTGTGGAAGCCATGACTTTCAGTGTCTGGCCTTCATTAGATTGTCTTAATAGTGGAAACACTCATGGTCACACATTTGATATTAAGTTTGGTTCTCCATTTGAGGATATAGCATTTATTTTAGTCCCTGATTTCATTTCTTTTCTTCCAGTTTCTTTACAAGGAGGAGCGTGTGCGAAGAAAGCAAGGTCAGTTGTCAGGTTTGATGCCAGCAGAAAGAGCAGTTGAAGGAACTGGATCAGGAAACAGATCTGAAGGCATCGCGGGGGTGGCAGATTTAGGTCATTCTGTCCCAGGAATGGCGTCCAGAGTTGAAAATGGAGGAAGTGAAACTGAGAGGTGGACAGCAGCTCTTTCAAATTTAGCGGAAATAGGGACGTCCATAAATTCACTTCAGAATCTTCTTGTTGGGAAGGCTGTGTATGTCGATGAAGACGCTTTTGCTCAGGCTTCAGCCCAATCAAATCAATTTCGTACCGTGAAGGTCAGATCTGTTCTTTATATCGTTCATCAAGAGTACATATTCTGGAGGTATATGCAATGTTACTTGAGGAAATGAAAGTTGAGATTCAAGCCGAAGGTATTTGCTGTTCATAGGCACAGGAGAGACGCATACGTGACTTGGAGAAGGAGCTGGATGCTGCCGTGTCTGCATCACGTCATGCGCGTGCGGAGAAGAGAGAGGCTGAAAATCTGCAACGCGCAGCAGAAGCACGAGCGCATGAAGTTCTTCAGGAACTTGAAGACACAACTCGTAAGTTTCAGTTTTTAGTTCATTTTAGTAAGCACCCACTTGTTTGTCTGCAGATGATTTGGAGTCGTAGAAGTCAAAAGTTTTCATCCACAGCATCTACTTGATATCCCCCACACACGAAAGGTTGCGAAGGTTTCCTGAACAAGCTTTCTCCATTTCGCAGAGGTTTTTAAGCTACACTTGGAGGAACTTCGCCTGAAACAAGCAGAGGTGGAAAAGAAAGATGATGAGATTAAAATGTACAAGGCCATTATAGAAACCGTAAGAAAAGAACCTCGTGGATCAAAACAGAAGAAAGGTTCTTGAGTCGTCACTGTGTATCAAATCATCTTGCAAATTCATTATCAGAGAACCACGGTTCTATTGTAGATCGAAGGTTGCAAATGCAACTTTCCGGGTGTGACTCCCTGAAGCAAAAGCTGGTTAACAAATTCTTGCTTCTGAGATCCGATAAGGCCTCGTGAAACGTGTCAAAACATAATCTCCTATAAATATCTGGCAGCAAAGTAGCTCAGGTTAGCCACAGTAACTCCTTGCAGAAGGATTGTGATCCGTTTTCCGCTGCTCAGAGTAAGGCGCTTTTGCACCTTCAATGCTCAAAATCAGTATTATATGTAGAGAGACTGACAAATTGTGTGTCGTGGTTTGAGTAAATGATCATGCACCCTAGATCGCTCGATGAAGTTGATTCTTCTGTCCGATGATGAGCACTGTGTTCAGGGCTTGGTAGCTTAGCAGCCATGCTTAGTAGCGGAGAAGCTACTAAGTTTCGTTCGTAAATTCAATGGAACTGACGTCATCGTTGTGTTCACTGAGTCAGCTCTATGTACTCAAAAATTTTTTTGCTTGTAAATATCTTAAAATGTTCTACAACAATTCCAAGGGGTTTCTGAACATACGCACGTTGTTGAGATACAAAGGATGTTTGTTTATTTTGGATAGGAGTGTCGACATTTAAATTTCACATTCATTGACGGAGGAATGCAAAGTTAGGGCCTTTGATTGACTCATTCTTTGTCCCCAAACTACAACTAGATGTTAATGTTGCAGTGGAGAAGAAGGTTTCTGCTGACTCCCTTCATTACGAAGATTATCTTCGCTTTGAAACAAAAGAGAAGTGGGGTTTCCCACAAAAAAACTACCATTTTTTAATAAAAAGATGGAATGCACACGAGCTCATCTCGCACGCAGACACCAGCCTACAAGTTCAATTTCGCAGCGTCAAAAGACAGAAGCGATGGATAGTAGACGAAAATGGGTTTGCTTACGTCATCGCAACCTGAAGTCGGCAATGTACAACAAATGAAGCCATGTACACTAGATTTCTTGAGTGGATAAACGCCCACCTTCACCCGAGAGCCAAAAGCATCCGTTTATGACCTATGATATTTAGCAAAGTGCATGAGCCGTGATTCAAGTGGATGAACCCATCGATGATGGTATGATTGTCCAAATTTACAGGGCGGAGGGGCATTTGGCCATGTAATGGTATCAACCTGCTAGACTCGTTGTTAAGACATCTGCAGTGATACCTTTCGTGCGCAATTAAATAATGAATCTATAACAAGGATGTTTATGACGATGTGCCCATTATAATGCCGTCAGGTATACACCTCATCCGAATGACTTTTGTGGCCTGTGTAACAGTAGCACCGGACATTTTTCAATGGCAAGTTGAAGAGGAATCTATACCCTCACTACACTACAACACACGGCGGGTTGTGTGCCTCCCTGATGAGGTGTACTGAGATCAGCATGCAAGTAATTTTGCAATGAATCGAGATAAAACTTCGCACTCTCTGCTCTGGCCCTCGTGTCACCTTTTAAAGCAGTCGGAGACTAAGAGTGAGCAGAAATTTAAGGCTTTTGAGCGAATTTGAAAACCACAGGAAAGTCAGAGTGAAGAAAAGAAACAGTCCGGAAAAACAGATATTGCTGGTCGACAAGAAACATATCAAACAGACCACACCTTTCACTCGGGAAAGTCACGTCCACAAGTTTTCAACTCAGGGCTCGTCACGTTCACCAGCAGTGAGAGTGAGATTCAAGGGCAGTGTGCTTATAATAAACACTTGAGAACACACAGGGTAAAACTGTTGGAAGGAACATATTCCCTTGCGTTGACATGAAACTATTGAACCTACACACAAGCCTTTTGGGTAGGTCCCAAACTGAATCTCTGCATGAATGGTAGACTCATTCATAAAAGGATAGTAGTCAGGGGCTGTTCAGAAGTACTTCTCTATAGTAGCCAACTGCTGGCTACTATAGAGGTACTATGACCTCGCATGCATGAATGAATGAAGGCGAGGAAGAGGAGGAGCAGAGCTGAGTATGGATGGAACCAATGCACAGATAAGGGTCACGGCCTGTTCCTGGGATATCTCTTCAGTCCAGTGGCCTGTACGGTGCACAAGTTTTATAATCAACAGCTAACACGAACATCACAATCTACTATTCGTGACACTTGCGGCCCACACCGAACCGCGAAACTACAGAAATGATTCTGCTGGGGCCTGCCAAACCGTGAATCGTTTCGACCAAAAAAGTGTCGAAGGAATAGTCCACTGAGGGAGCAAGAGAAATTTACCCCAATCTACTTGCCCTAGTCACCGTCCTTCTACTACTAGTCTCCCGAGGAATCTCCAGCTTTCTCGCTGAGCTACCATCTGCTGACCACCAGCTAAAGACAGGCAGCACTGCACACCCGATCACAACTACGTCAAGGAAATTCTCTCCCCCGTTGACATGTGCACACAAGTATCTCGCTTGCTTGTGTAGTTTGAAAACTGAATCTTCGAAACGATGAGGTCAGGTCAAGTCAGCTCGAGTCAGGTCGGGTCAGGTCGGGCGGCCCTCGAATCCGTCCCATGAGTGGACGTGCAAATGATGGCATGGAGCGCTAGGGCAGGGGTAAGGGTCAAGGCCTGTTCATTAGGGACCAATCTCATCACTTCCATGGTAGAAGGGCGGTTTCAGGTCATCGGCACCAGCAAAGAGCGGGCGGGCTGGTTGCCACCCCACCCCCCACCCCCACGGTCAATGTTGGCAGCCTTCTACGATCGAGGTCGTCGGCGCTGGAGCTCAACCACCCGAGGCTGAAACTTCCACGCTCGACACTTCCACATTTCGTTTCAGACACAGACACGCCCCTCGGAAGATTCGCGTCTCCTCTCTCTCTCCTTCATCGGATAATAATTTCAACCTCCACGAAGAAATTTGGTGCCATCCGTAATGATGCGAACACGATAAATCCGAGAGATTGATCCTTGCCCGCCCGCCATGGCCAGGCTCTTCGATTTTGACCCCTCCGAGTGCGCGTAGGAGAGGCCAAATGCACAGTACCGAAGAGGCGTTACAGGCGTACTGAACCGTATACCTTCGGGAGAGGAGGCAACCGTATTCTTCACTGTACGCTGCCCTGAGTAGCGTAGATTAGCGTAGAGTAGACTAGGCGGGGCTTTAGGCCAACAAGAGGATGCAACTGCATCCAAAGTTTGCGGCAGTACAGCTCCATAATCATCGCTACAGTACGGGACAGGATAGTGTACCGTACACGTAGCATACTGCATTCATAGCATGATACGGAACTTTACCTGGTGCGCAGTAGAGCCAAATCGACCCTGTTCCCCAGACACTGACCGAGTCTGACTCCGTCCGATGATGCTGAATGATTCCCTCGTCCCGGTGGCGCTGCTCGGCCAGCCGTGGATGCTTACCGGCTGGGAACCGGTGGTACTTGGATGATGGTTGTCTGTTTGCAGTTTACCGGGTACACAGTGCGGGACAGGACAGGACAGGACCGGACAGTACATAAAGGACTGTACCATACTGTACCAGTTGACGAGGGCTTGCCAGGTCGGCGTGAATGGACGGACCACGTTGTTTGCGAACTGTGTGTACCTTCGAGACGAAGGACGTGGTTCCATGGGAACACTGTGTGGTTACTGAGCACTGACAGAGCTTGCGGGACCGGCAAGTTCCAGTCACCTTCCCCTCCCTTCTACCGTATCGAATCGACGAACCTCGTTCCGTATCGCATGATGGCTGCCAAGTACAGTACAGTACACTCTCGGTTTGTTCCGAGTGCCGCAAGGATTGCAAGAGTCTCGATCGAGGAGTCATCTCAGCGGCCATGGATCGTGAATGGGCTCGTCCTTTAATCCCCTCGTATACACTTCACGAGTCGTTGATTATGTGATTCGGTTCGTTTCACTGAGCCCGGCGGTTAGCGTTTCATGCGTCATTGTTTGCAACGCTGTTGGAATTCATGGCCGCTACAGGCATAGTTCATGCAGAAGCCTGGAATTCTGAAGCAGAGACGATTTTGTTGAATGGTGGACGATTCTACCAAATCTCAGCAGGAGGAATTCTTACTTGACACCACTTCTCCTCTTCTCGTGGAGTTCAAGCCGGAAAGTCACACATGCTTGCTTCTTCGTTCCAGGGAGACAAAAGATGAGAATATCACATCCATACTTACAACCACGAGATTATTTGGATAACCAAACATTAAACCTCAACAAAATCCATATGAAAAACACTTCATACAACACCCAAACACGTATCAATTATCAGTATCAAATTTTCTACAAAAACCAATATTATCACAGAATTAACACCTCATGTAAAATCTCTCCTATGTGTATCACATTTTTGTGACCTCTGTACAGAAATTAATGTAGTGTAAAGGAGTTGAGGGATGAATATCTGAATTTGTTCTTTCGAAGACATAGGAGGACGAAACAAGTAGACTGACATATCGGGAGCTTTGAGTACACGTCGTCGGAAGAGCAATGGTTTGAGTGGTACAATCAATCTAATAAGAGGACCAGCCTGATTACCCTCTGGTGCTCATACGAAGCCTGAACTTTTACCAGCCCGTCCGAATCCAAGGCAACCCCTTCTTTGATGACATCCGTATACACACACACGCCATGAGTCATGTGGTCGCGTATTCACAGAGATCCGAGTTCCCTCTCGATCTGGTACACGTACGATCCTCAGAAGAGAAACATCAGATCGGACGATGCTGGCAAACATACTCTCCCATGCGAAACCAAAAGTGAGCTTAATCACGGACACTGCGAATAGAAACAAGATTAAAATTTGAGTTCCGAATGTCAAAGGGATCTCAATGGTTTGCATGGTGGCACTCTTCGATACACGCCTCGTGTATCGAAGAGTGCTCTTTGGATTAGAAGGATTTAAAAAGTGACGGGTGTGGAAATACGCCCCTTGTTTTCTAATGATTAGTACTTTCAGGAAGTTGAAGGATTATGAGGGCGTATATATTTGTGCTTGATTGTTAAAATGATGGCTTTGATAACACATTGGTCATTCTATTGTGAAATAGACTGAAGATAATAAGCGTTTGTGAGTAGAGAGTAAGCACAATGATGCACGTTTGTAAAAAATATAATGGGATAAATTTTTAGATTATATGTTAAAAAGTTAAAGTTCTTAAGAATAGTAAGTTCTCAAAACTGCACCAGTTTAATACGCAATGAGGAGAATGTAATTGTAGATTGTAATCCCTTTCAATAATTGCTTATAGTTCTTTAGCTAGCAACTGATGATGAAAGCATTGCAAGAAATATTAAGTTTCCTCGTAACTTATTTGATCAACTTTTTAACACGTCTCATAATCTCAATAGATTGTTCAATGATCTCAATAATGATGAAGTTAACGATCATCGACTAGCAATCTCCTTCGACACGGTCCTCACTGTCGAACCTCAACCAATATACTCTGCCGCTGTCCCGAAGTACAACAAGAAAATAATACTCAACGAAACAAAAAATAAAACGAAGTGAATAGGCAGCAGTAATGAGTTAATGAACGTGCAAGGAAGGACGCCATCACGGAGCTGGTTTCTTCTTTCTCGCGCTGGCTCTTTCAGCGGCAGGTGTCGGTATCCGCAGCTGCTTTGACCGGCGGTGGGGGTTGCGTGGTACACAGCTGCCGGTCCATGTGCCTGGCCCGGACTCGACGCGGTTCTGGCCACAGTCGCAGCGACATTTCTTCTGTCTGGACATGGTGTCGTTGTAGACCCAGCTTTGGCTGTTGGGGAAAGTCGGAGCTTGGAACGATCGGTGTCTGAATCTGGTGGAACTACCAACTCGCCACTCATTCATTCACTCGTGTGCTGCCGAGTTGGCTCTCAAGTTTGGAGCCAATTCGGCAAACCAGTTTAGAGTCTAAACTTTCACACAATATTGTGTAGGATGCACGGTATTGATGGTGCAAAATATATATGTGCACATAAGAAACCCAAACATGTGACATGGAGCTAGCTCCAATAGCTTGCAATGCATCTAACTTATTCAGATTCAAGCTATGTAGGTTAGAAAGGCTAAAAAAGATACAAAGCAATAAATATGATTGTTAAACTATATTAGTTTATTGTATGATCTATATCAGTCAAATGTTTTTATTGTGTGTTTGAATTCATTATTGATATTATTAATTTGATAATAATCATGTTCGCTTCTAAGAAGTTGAATATTCTTGTTTTTTTATTAATTAAAAAAGTTCAGATATCTATCTATCTATTTTCCATTGCAACACTAATGAGACTTACCTATGGTTTTATACTTTCATTCGTTGATGTGATACTCTGTTTATTCGTACAATTATTTTCGCCTCCGTTCCCATATTGTAAGACTTAGGTTTAAAGAACTAAGGATATACGTATATCCAGTAATAAATCCTTGTAACCTAGGCTCTCACCAACCTGTCAATACACAATGTTGCAAGTTCCATTCTTTAATCGATGAAGAAGTGACATTCACAATCACGAGAGCAAATATGAGTTCCAGAACAGCAAGCAAGACATCCCAACGGGCGATGGCATACGCACTGCACGGTCATACAATAAATGTTGTCGCTAACAAGTGAACTGGAAAAAATTCGTCGATAAGGTTCCGACAAATCAGAGCCAAAAGAAGGCCATCCTTTATCAATGTTCTACATCGATCACTAAGATTTTCAGTTGTTGCCTCCAGCTCGTTCCGGGCAGCCTGAAGAGTCAAAAGTCAGTGCGAATGGTCGTCATTCATGTGTACCCTGAGAAACAAGCCTCCAGCTTAGGCCGTGCTCAGATTCAACGAGGGACCTAGTTGCTCATCGTCATGTAGATTCAGTAGACTGAAGTGGACCCCTGCTTGATAGGCTCGCACCATGAGAATTCATCGATTCAAGCGAATCGAATGGGGATGGGGACGAGGACGAGAAACAAATTCCATAATGTACAAAAGAAATCGGTACCTGTGCACTTGGAGAGAAGATATTTCCATAGCCTGGTCGAAGACTTTTTCTACAAATAGAGGGATCTAGGATAACTCACGAACCAATGACTAGTGTGTGCTCTGCTTTGACTGGTCGATTGGAATCTATTAGACCAGTCTAGTTTCGAGGCTTCTTCTTGACGACTTGGAGAAGTATGGATAAAAAGGTGAGCATGAATATTCCACGTTACTTTTCGTGAGGCAAATATTGCTCCCCTATGGAGTACAGGGTTTAAGTCTTTGTTCTATATTGTATTATATGCTTTTCGTTGATACTGCCAACTACATCATAAGTTTTATTCACGGAATAGAGATTGGAGTCGTAGGAATCTCTTCCCAGAAAGAAGGGGCAAAAAGCAAAAAGGCTGACAATTATAAGTGGACCTCTTCTTTGACTGCCTTGCATTCAGGCTCCTCTCTTGCTTGACTTCTAGCCCCCTGTTCCATGTCTCATCTTACAATTTTTGATGCACTGAATTGATTATTGTGATATATCCATAAGCTTGTGATATGGGCCTATGGATATATCTTAGGCCCATAACTTTGAGAGTTTCTTCATGCCCACCTAGCATGCTATGAGGCTCAACTTCCTGTTCATGTGGAAGCCTAGGACCATCAGCTATGGAAAAATGCGCTGCTTCCAACATTATTGGTGGTTGGATCTTGCTGGGTACTCAATTTAGCTCTTGTATTTCACTGGAAAAATTTTCGAGTTTATGTTCAATGAACCTCCATCCCACGTTGAGCTTGTTTCTTAACCATTATAATATCTCATCCATAACATTGGCATAAACATTGTAATATGACCTTCTTAACTTTGAGGTCATGTCGGTATCCTACACTAGACTACAAAGATTTACTTTAACAAAGGTGCATAAAGACATACTATTTACCTCCATACTGGACCGAAATCTTAAACCTGTAGCATTAAAAGTTTGCATTTTCACTCTTACTAAAGAACGTTGTGGGAGCCTGATTGATTTTCATCTCAGTTGTATAAATTTGACTAAAACTATTTTAAGTTTTGACTACTTGTAATTATGGAGATGCAAAACAAGCATATGATGCATCATATGCACGTTTGACACGTGCGGATCTAGGGGTTCACAATTATCATACAAGAGGATGTTTGAGATGCAATATGTGTTTTATAGCTTGAAATACACGAGGTAAGAGGATCGCGATGGGGTACGCCCTTAAAACAAGAACATCAATCACCAACACGCATCATAAGGAGAACAGGGCTGTGTGATAAACATGATGATCACATATCCGGCGTTACATACTTTATCAAACCTCCTTCCACATAGATGTGGAACTCTATGTTGTTATTATGTTACAAGATACAAAGGATTCAAGTCAATAAATATGTGTACCAATTGTACATTTAATTTTTTTCATTTGGCTTATGATCCATGGATAATTATGATGATTATTACACGAAATTTTCGTCACATACGATAAATATTGCTTTTCCGTTGAATTTTCGTATGATTTGTTTTGCTTGGTGCATCAATATTGCCAATGTATTACCTGCATACACAACCTGCAAGTATATAATAGAAAGAGTCTTCGGATATGTGATGCTCGTTGAATATAAGACGAGTCACACAAACTGGAAAGACCGCTATAGCTATTGATACCATATCGAGAACCTAGTGGTTTTTTCAATAATCTCTTTTATTCAGCAGTTCGTGTGAGAGAGAATTATCATGAGAATAATAATTACTCTCTCAATACCCTTTTCCTTTAGTCATGGCTTTGTTATCTTTCATATGTTTTGCTATTCTTTTCCTCCCATAATAGACTGCATTTTAGAGGAATTATATATATATATATATATATATATATATATATTGCACCTACATGTTCCTATTATCTTCACATATTTAGGAAGGTGTCCAAAAGTAGTGTAACCAAGTAAGAATAAAGTTCAACATCTGTAAAAGAAGTATGATATGTAATAAAAGAATGTAATTTTAATTGGATGCTTTCCCTTGTCTTCTTTTAGCATCTTTAAATGAAGGAAAGACTCCAGCCTGATACATCTTACAATCTAAATGTATATCAAAGATGAGTTTATATTTTGAATGAAGAACTACTAAGTCGAGCTTTAGTGTCATTTTGAAGTGATGGGCTTCACTTTTTGCTCATACGTTATATGTATACCTTTATTGACGTTGTATTTATCATAGTGAAACATTATGTTTTTCAACCTTTGTCGTGCACCATATCGAGTTTTTAAGCCTTTGGAAAAAACTTTCTTGCAAATTTCTTTCATAGCAATCATAAACTTGTAACCTTGATTCATTTTTTTAAAGCATGTATACATGAGTCTAAAATTATGAAATCACTCTGCCATGTGTTCCAAAAGAATCGAACATCCACTCTCATTTTATCCCATGCGTCCCATGGGATGAAATCAGAGTGGATGAGCCTCATTTCCACATCAGTCAGACAGTATAGTATCGTATAATTGACAAACCTAACTAACTACACGTCATTCAAACACTTGGCAGTTTACTTTGTACACATGTGTGGCTTTCGTCTTTTTCCCCTATTTATCGAGCAGTTTCTACCAGAAATAAAAGGAGTGACTTCAACCAAAGCCTTGGAAGGATGTCGCAGGATTTACCTGACGTTCACAGGTAGAATGAGGCAGAGGTAATTGCTGTAGACGAAAACATGTCGGAGGCAAACCTGGAAAACATGGAACAAACATGCTTGAGAAATTGGGAACAGGCCTCGACCCTAAGCAAAAGTGCCGGCTCTTGCCATAGGTTCACCACTGCAACACTGCTTGGGCATCATTTGTGCCATGATGCACATGGAACATTGTCTTTTGTAGAAAATGAGATGCTCTTGTTTAATTAGACATTTCTGTCTCTTTGGAAACCTGGTTTCCTCCCAATATTTTGAATGTCTTCCAAAATGTGAAGCTAATATGTTAACACACTCATCACTACTGTCCACCCACTTTGTCTGCAAATCAAATGGCCTGCCTGCTTAATTCAAAATGTGTGCATATCTAGATATATGCAAACGTGTGAAGTGTGTTCGGAACTTGAGATAATAACTGTAAACTTGGAAGTATCTTGTGTCTCCTTGAGCTGCACATTAAAATGACACAATTTTCTTCATTCTGGCTCCAAACATCATATCCCACATCTTGATAGCTATAACAAGCAAATAAATGGAAGTTTAAACCTTCTTCATGTTATCACTCCGACCTCAATAGATCACAAGTTAAAAAACACATATTTGTCGTGCAGCATAGTACTATATGAGAACTGACTAAGATTCCCACCAACCTTGAAGAAAGCACTCAATCATTATCGATGGAGTTTGGAGGACACGTGAGAAACTCCTTTAGAAGAAAGCTGCTTCTTGCTCTTTAACGTGTGTCTGGCCAAGTTTGACTCGAACTTTGTTTTCAGAAGTGTCTTCGAAGCATTGGCGCTTGGCCCTTTCTGAATTTGCATGGAAAGAACCCAACCTCGTAAAGTTATGGAGACATTCCAACACATGTTCTCGGAGAATCTACTAGCACATGCTCTTCCTCATCTTGGATGCGTTTAGCCTTTTGGAAAGCTCGTTCAGCATCTCCTTTGCAAAGCCCACTGATGTAGCATCGAGAGGAATTGCTCGTAGACTTTCTTGTCATCTTAGAATATACGGTAGTAGGGTCCTGTACTGTACAGAAAAAAACTCAAGGTGGAGAGTCGCATCACACAGGGAATTTTGACACAAGTCTCGGTCATCAATGTGCAGGTAATGTTTTAGAAGACATTCTCACAACAAGACAGATTTGCTCACATGATGGCTCCGAGGTTCAAGTTCACCATCTGTCATGTCTACAAGTTGCCAGGTACGACGTCGAAAGTCAAATGACGAGTTCGCTGTCCATCGTAGTGACACAACTTTCTTGAGATGGTAGCCAGCTACCTCCAACTCCTTTGAGTGAGATTGGAAGATATTTTTGCAGAGAAGGACAACATATTTATAACAACCATTGAGCAAAACAATGGACACGAAGAAGACATCAATATTTGAGAACTTTTTTTCAAAGGAAGCTCACTGCAAAAAGTGGCTCATGTGAAGAATTTACTATCATAGGGCTTTAACCATGCTCTTCTACAATTAAGAAATTACTGGTGACTTCTAAGAGAACAATGACAACAAGCATAGTTGAACGCTATCTGAAGGCTTACTTTACTGACGAGAGACTTGTACATTAAGAACCGTAGGGTCTCAGTGCATCAACTGCGTCATAACTTTGCTATTTAAGCCACTAAGACAAATTTCATAAACTACTCTCAAGCCCTTGGTTCTTACGAAGAGCCGATCAAGACTGTCGTGCTTTCCGGGTGGCATTCGATCCTGCAGTTGCCGCACATATTCCCGCTATGTCTTCGAAGGACATTTACTCCTCTCGACATCTCATTTGTAAAACTTTCCTAATTGATCAATATACAAATCCTTCCTAATCGCCTTCAGTCTTCTTCTCAAAGACGACAAGAAGGTCCTTATTATCTCTATATGCTTGTACGAGTGCAGCTGCCTTGTACGCAAAAAAGCCGAACATCATCGGAGCAACCTGAACATGTTACAACCCCACACACAAACAAATTGATTCTTGTTCAGAAGAAGCTTTCGATGCGTGAATAATACTCTTATAAGGGGCAAACACACGCAAATTTACTATTCCATGAACGCGACAAGGAAGGAGGAGGTATCAGAGCCCTCCTACCTCGAGGTGGAAGTCCTTGGTTCCCGTGACTTGAGTTGATGCTGCCCATAATCCAAATAACGCAGCTGGTACGACTAACCTGGGCGAAGATAGGGCCATCCCACTTCCTCTTATAGTTTTCTCCAATGTACGCTTCACGTCACCACTTCTGATGCCAATAGTCCTACAGGTGGTGGGAACCGATTCCGGCCGTGTTAATGGTAAAAATTCAGGCTTCTCTTGCTTGCAGACTTACGAGTCTCTGTAATCAAAAAGCTAATGATTTGACCTGACCCACTTTCCTCCACAACCATGACCTCTAGATGATAACACGATCATGAAAAGAGTATATTCTTACTTCTTTTTGAATCTCGGTGGTATGAATATATCAGCCACACTGTCTTCACTGAAGGTGTCTGCATGTCGGTACAAGAGCTGTAGATACAGTAAACTGTTGAGAGGAGATGGTAATAGCAGTGTTAGAGCAAGCTGAAGAGATGAGGTTCAAGGAGATAACTCTAGTCAAGTGCCGAGAGATTAAAAACTTGCATCTCCAATGAAACAAAACACCACATAACAAGTACGCAAGTCGGAAGCACATGGCGACGATGAGGGGACATACCTTGCTACAGCACCGATATCGTAACTCACGGTTGACTGTCATGGCAACCACAGATCTATATAAAGTTAGACATTCAGCCTGTTGGCAGCGGCACAATTCAGCCAGAAGTTTTCTCTCAAACGAATATTCCGGCTGAAGTTCTTTTCTGCTCGATTGTTTCCCAATTTATGTGCTAATAATTGCTGAACCTAAGGGTTGACTACTCCAATATGCGTAAAACTCCGTCAATTCGGAGTACATCATGGACTCCACATTCATGTTTCATGTGCAAGGATTTCAAGAGGCATATCTCGGTTTGTCATTATGTAACAAAGCACAAACATTTGACCGACAAGCCAGAATGGTTCGGAGAGGTATCAAGTGCACACCTCCACTGAGAGAATGGCCAGGCAATATATTGTGCACAACCCTGCAACGCCTACAGTCATCAAAGAGAGTTCTCGTTTCAGCTGCATGGAGAGTGATTCGAAAGTCAGTGGTTTGTGTAGAGAGTGACACGACAATCATAAAATGCTCAAAATTCCATTTGTTAAAGGCCTTGCGTAACCCCAAAGCCCGAAGAAATATATATATAAATAACAATACACCGTTGAAGATACATCCCATAGCTAAATATCGTGCTATGAGGAAAATTTGTAGATGCAGGGGGAAACAGACAATCACCGGCACTATTCATTCCTTGTCTTTAGGATGGGAGCTTACCGCCTCGTATTCCAAGAAACTCTGCCTCTTGCGATCATCCGCTGCTCTGGCTCTTTCCTGTTAACGATTGAACAAAAATTCACTAAAGTTTGAGAAACATCGTTGCTATTGCTGTTGCTGTTCCAGCTGAAAATCAAGCTTCTAGACACGTCCAAATGTTTGTGACACCAGCTTGTTCTGAAAGCCCAATATGCAGGAAAACATCGACCGCACTGAGGAACTGCCTGACCCAGATAAAACCCTCGATGTTACCTCGGCAGCAGCATTCAAGTTTCTCGGTGCTACTTCTTCGATCCCAGCACTCCAATTCTTCGCTTGAGTCAGTTTCAGAAAACTCCCAGTGTCCTCAACTTCTTTCATCTAAGCACTTAGAAACAAGAGGTTTGCGTTGCAGTCTTAGATTCTACGGAATGTGACGACGAGTATTCGCAGAATTCAGGAACCGCACGAGAGGTTGACAATGCTACTTTTGCAGATAAAGGAAAGAGGATCAAAGCCGACAAGTTCGAATATCTGTACGGGGATTTTCTTCCTTGGATTGCCATGAAGACACAAGAACCCAAAAAAGAAAGAGGCAAACATTGTACCTTCTGGAGTTCAGCGAGTTTCTCGCGCAATTCAGATCTTTTCTCATCGTCTATCTCAAGAACCTCTTTCTTCCACAGCACGTCCGATGCTCTTGAAACGAAGTCTCCACCGGCTTGACGGCTTCGCAGAAAAGATTCAAAGAATTCTTTCGGAGTAAGCTCATCACCTGCGGTTGATCACGAGTCGGTGACTACTTCAGGAGGCCCTAAAACACCGCTTCTTACTGGCGATGTTGGCAGATTGGAGTAGATGCATTTCACCCACACATACAACTGTTTGAAGTGAATTTTTTAAATTCGAGCCTTTCGGTTCGTCATCACAGGTGTTAAAATGTCGGCGACGATGTGGCACTGGACAATTGCGGAGAATTTCACAATGAGCGCGAGTAAGGTACCGTTGGTCTTCTCTCTCGAGACGGCAGAAATTTGGAAATTCTTCGACAGCTTGCGAGGACGACTGCTCCCGCATTGCATTCGCTGGCCTAACCCAAGACATTCTGTGAAGAATAAATTCTTCAATTACGAGACATGAAATATCAGAGTGTCCAAAACAGCAATAGCCATGGAATTAGCACACGAGAATCTAAATTCAGAGTCTAAAACAAAACATAACATAACAGAGAGCAATCCTTTGGAAGAATTGGAGCGAACCTCGAACTAGGCGGCTCGATCCACCCGGTTGCCGACGAGGAGCAGAGGAGATGTACGACGCAGCAGGGCCCGTCTGCAGCCCCATTGCGTACATCTTCACTCCTTGTCCTCTCTGTTCAGGAAACTCCCCAAATTGAAACACACACAAGGCAGTGCGCAATGTAAGGGCGAGCGACAATCGGCTCGGCTCAGCTCAGCTCAGCTCAGCTAGCAGGAGATGCAAACGCAGCAGGTGCTGCTGCCTGTCTTCTCCATAGCTGGTCTGCTGCTGCGCTCTGGTGCTGCTGATTTGCTCGAGCTGCTGCTGTCACACTCTCATCGCTCCTGGGCTCCATTGAAAGCACCCACGAGCGACCGGATGCAGCCCGTCGCCAACGATTTGTGACCCGAAGACGACCCGTCAGAAGCGGCCCTCTCGGAACGCCGAAGCCCGCGACCGGCTGGAGACAGACGAACCCGGTTTCCCCGAAACGGGTACCATGTACCAGCAGAGTTCCTTGCGTTCCGTCTTTCCGGAATGTGGACTGGACCCCGGATAAGCAGGCACGCCATGTCAGCCGCACCTTCCTTCCATATATCCGTCCGTCCGTTTTTCCGTCCGTCTGTCCGTCTGTCCGTCGCGACTTCCGTCCCCGAAGCTCCATGCGTGTGGACGAGCTCTAGGGCCTAGGCTCTGGCATCGGAGCCGACGTGGATTCACGGCCCAGGTCCTCGTACGTGGAATTTACCGCAGCGCGTTCTGGCACTATAGCACGCGCAAGTCATCGCTTCGACGGTCCAGATACGCGGGAGCGGGAGTCAAACGAATCTGGACCGTCGGAGTCCGAGGTCGATAGAATCTGTTCAAATGGTATTTGACCGTGGGCGCCACCGGTACCGGCATCCGGGCCCGTCGTCGGACCGAGGGATCGACGGCATCGGCCAGCCGGCGTCGGAGGACGAGTTCCAGGCCACGAAAGGCGAGAGGAGTTGCCGCGGCCCCCGTCGTCGAGGGGCGCCACGGCGTACGTGGTCGAGGCGAGTGCAGTTCCACATTTGTTGGGCCTCCGGCGACGCGACGAGCGACCAGCCCCCGGGCCCCGACTGTTGGCCACCTGCGCTTTTGGCTCCGAGCCGAGGCCCGGGCGGGACTGGGGCTGGGGCAGGGACTGGGACTGGGGTAGGGGCAAGGGCAGGGGCAGCGAAAGGAAAACAGGGGCAGGGGAAGGGGGTTGTGAGGGGGAGGGGAAGAGGAAGGGGGAAGGCGGAAGGCGGGGCGAGAGGCAGAGAGGCCCAAGCCCAAGCCCAGGCCCAGGCCCAGAGCGCGAGAGGGAGAGGGAGAGGGGGAGGGGGGTGGGGGTGGGGGAGCGGGAGGAGGAGAGCGTGGCGCGTGCCATGGGGGGGCTTGGGAGCATAATTTGGCTCAGGGATGCCGCTCCATGGAACCAGCGCGAGCTGTGATCCCTCGAGGCCCCCGACGGATTCGGACCGGTTGGCCTCTCCTGCTGCCGTCGCTTTTGCCACTCGGAGCAGCAGAGCAGCAGCAGCAACACTGCCTCGTACTGCAGAGAGAGGCAGAGGAGGCGGGCGAGTACGAGAGAGAGACGACCTTCTGCAGATGCTCCATCTCCGGCTCATCTCTAGCCTATAGGTACCATCCCCATTGCGCTTTATCAAGAACCCCGAGAGAGTGCGATAGCGAGAGCGAGCGAGCCCCGCTACTTCTGCCAGTGAGCGAGTGTCCTTCAAGCGAACGAGAGCTTCCGAGAGCTGCGCTTCGTTCCGGGTCGGTCGGTCGGTCGGTCGGTCGTTTCAATTTGTATGAGGAAGGTGGCCTCGTCTGGCCCCGTGTCAGCTTCAGTTGCTCTAGAAGCACACTTTGCTATTAGCCATGTTCTCTTGTCGACGGTCGGTCGGTTCATTCTAGTCCTGTCCTTACGGACGCAGCAGGAGGAGATCTCGGTCTGAAAATCAGAGAGGCAGTGAGTGAGTGAGTGAGATAGTGAGATAGTGAGATAGTGAGAGCGAGTGAAGGAGGGAAGGACGGCTTTCAATCGAATCGAGGACAGTATGCGAACAGCTTGAAGAGCCTCGGGGTGCGGAGGAGGGCGGTGTGAAAGGAGCAAAAGACCTAAGTGACACGGCTGTCGAGATTTCAGAACGATCAGGTACTTGTGCAGGAGGGGAGGGCAGGGCAGGGCAGCTGGCGACCATAGCCGGGTTGGACTCGAAGAGTCGATCGGAGGGATGATGAGGATGATGATGATGATTGTAGAGAGGCACGGGGCTGTGGGCTCAGTAGTGGCAGTAGGAGCAATGCAATGTGGAGCTTGGCGCTTTTTGCCTTAGTTGTGTTTTGTTTGGTGCTGCTGCTGCTGCTGCTGCTGGCCCTGGTCTCACCGTGTGCTTCTCTCTCGTCTGGTGCATCGTGGTGTTGGTGTTGGTGTTTGGTCTGGAAGGTCTAGATGAGGTGCTCGGTGCAGAGGTGTCGAACTCGGATGTGTCGCCGGAGATGAAGTCCAAGGAAGGGCTGATGAGTCCCACGCGAGTGCGTCCCGACGAGCCGACGGTTTCTCTGGGCTCTCTCATCAACAAGGAGCTGCGCAGCTACAAGGTGGAGAAGCCCGTGCTGCTGTACGGGCAAGCGGGGCAATCGAAACGAGGCGAGGATTACACTTTTATCAAGACAGATTGCCAGAGAACGCTCGTGGATGGCGTCTCGACCTTCGACGTGTTCGCCATATTCGACGGCCACAATGGCCGAGCCGCTGCCATCTATTCCAAAGAGAACGTGCTCAAGGATGTGCTGAGCGCAATTCCGCCAGGCCTAACCCGAAGCGAATGGTCCGCCACTCTTCCTCGAGCTCTCGTGGCCGGCTTCGTCAAGACCGACAAGGAATTCCAGAGCCAGGAGCAATCCTCCGGCACGACCGCCACATTCGTCGTCATCGACGGATGGACCGTCACCGTGGCCTCGGTCGGGGATTCTCGATGTATACTCGACTCGCAGGGCACCCTGACGATGCTCACGGTGGATCACCGATTGGAGGTCGACGAGGAAGAAAGGAACCGAATTCAAGCTTGTGGCGGGGAGGTGGGCAGACTGAGCACCGTCGGCGGTGCGGAGATTGGGCCCTTGCGGTGTTGGCCTGGTGGGCTGTGCCTGTCGAGGTCGATAGGAGACATGGATGTGGGCGAGTTCATCGTGCCCATCCCGTACGTGAAGCAGATCAAGGTGGGCGCTCTGGGTGGTAGGCTGATAGTGGCATCGGATGGCGTGTGGGATGCGCTGAGCACGGAGAAAACAGCCAAGTGCTGTAGAGGGTTGTCGGCAGAGCTAGCTGCGAGACAAGTGGTGAAGGAAGCGCTGAGGAGCCGAGGGCTGAGGGACGACACCACGTGCTTGGTAGTCGACATAGTTTCTCCGAACAGGCCCAACACGGAAATCGTGAAGCACAGGGGCAGCCGCAGCTTCCTGGCCACCATCTTCCACAAGCATTCGAGCAAGACATCGGCGAGGTTGGCTGGCAGATTGGCCGAAGGCGAAGCGGGCAGAGTGCAGGAGATCTTCGAAGAAGGTTCCGCCATGCTCGCTGACAGATTGGGATCGGAGGAGGCTGCTCCCCGAGGGCCCTCGGGCACCTTGCATTGCGCTGTCTGCCAGGTCGACATCACCCCCAGCGAAGGCATCTCGGTTCACGCAGGCTCCATGTTCGCGACGTGGCAGGGCCCATTCTTGTGCGCCAGCTGCAAACTCAAGCAGGATGCCATGGAAGGCAGACGGCCGTCGTGAGAGAACTCGCGCCCCCACACACGCACGCGCAGTCGGTCAGGCAGTTGCTGTTGCTTGCTTGCTTGCTTGCTGCGAACCGAATGCAGGACGGATGGATGGATGCCACCGAAGGTCGACGGCCATCGAGAGAGAGAGAAACTGGTGTTGGCTGGCTGAGGGAAGGACAATCAGCTGCTGTGATGGTGGCTGATAAGTGATGAAGCCACAGCTGGCACGCATCGATATCAATACTCATAGTTTGTTTTCAAGTCCAGGTAGTGTGGATGTACCTCAACTTCTCACTCGACGAGGTAGTTTGTTGCCCGCCTGACAACCTGCTTCCAAGAGCTGTTGGTTCAAAGGGTTGGCTAGTAGATTTGAGCTCTAGGTGATCTCATGAACTGGCCTCAGGCGTCATGGTTTTGAGCTGATACTCCTCATTTCATCGTGCAATTGTAGAAACGGTAGTATACATACACATTCTTAATTTGAGTCAATTTGCAGAGGATCTTATGCCGGCCGGGAGGAAATGCAATCAGCTACTCTATCGGTGCTTGTGGCTGATAAGTTATAAAAGCTAGCGGGGCATTCATCATTATCAATACTCAATAGTGTGTTTTTCAACTTACAACTAGTTCGGATGGGTCCTTGTTCCTCTTGCAAAAGCGTGATCGGCGGTGCATTGGCAACCTTATCCAGCGACCTTCCTGGATTTCCATGGTTCCACGTTTGAGCTCCAGTTCCAATCCAATCCGAGTAGCGTATTCATATTTCTTTGAGTCAGCTGACCATCCCCTTACTAATATTCTGGAATGCGCTGGACCCCCTTCGCGCATTATATAACCTGTTTGCCAGTAGCAGATAATCTTTGACACATGGACAGAGGATTGGAGTAGAGCGCCAGTTTCTGCAGACACTACCCGTAGCTGGGTCTCAGACTTTATGAAGATGCTGGTACCAACCTTTGGAGGAATTTTGTGTGATTCGGCATCGTTGCAGACCCCTCAAAATTGTAACATAACTGAGTGCGTTGGCTGTTCAACAATGACGTTGTCCCCTATGGAGCGGACTCGGGAAATTAATAAATAGGTTGTATGAGATTTTTCAGTTACCTTCATGTCCAACTCTTTGCCCAGTACACTGACGGTTGCCAGCTGAAACCGCCTGTTGACAAAGTGTGTGTTGTTGCCTCAATTTCTGGGCGGAAGGAACTTTCTTCTGTTCGTAGTCGGAATGTCATGTCAATCAGGCATTGCTCTGTAATCACTTCGTCCATTTCGTTGCAAACATTCAACTCGATCGATTTCATGGACCTAGTATTCTGTCATCGTAAAGCTTGAAGTGAATTGTCAAGGGCGAAAACTGTCCGGGAGAGGTTTCCTCATCCGCGACGCTCTAGTACTAGTTCTTGGACAAGGGGCTTGGTCTGTACTCTGGATGTCCTTCGAGGTTGCTCATATCGATGAATCATGTTTATGTGAAAACTCGAAGGCGTGGAGTAGGTTATCGAAACACGTACCTCTACACTCATGTGCTTGATTGAGGAGCATGATAGTTACGACATTTGTCCAAGTCAAAGGTAGGAAGTCAAACGAAGTCACAGGCCTACTATATCCTAAGAGCCCACTCGTGTAGAGTGGGTTTTTAGTTCATTAATGATGGACGACTCCCGGCCCGAACCGAGAAAAGGTAGTTCCAACTTGCCACATTTGTCTCACTTTTACTGCATATACTCACACGATCTGGCTCAAGTGGGCAATTCCCGTGTATGACAAGCTAAAACCATTCGACAAATGCCATCACGAGCTGAATATACCATTCAGATTCAAAGCCAGCGATGGTCTCCTTCTGCTTGCCCCCTTCTTGATTAAACCTCTGCTTAGCAAAATGCCACCTTCCGAAGTTGAAATAATCACAATCACTGACGCCAGGAAGCTGTCTGATTGGGAGTAAGTGTATGCCGCTCGTGCACTCTGAGGCCAGTAAGATGGTGTCGATGTGATCTCGAAGAGGATGGATGACAATTTCCCGACGAAGAAATTTGGGAGAGGAAGGCTGTCATCGTCCACGCTCCATGGATCTATTTTGGGAGGGTTTAGAAGCCGGGAAACTAATTTCGAGCCCCCCGCTGACCGCATTTACTTGGCCCAGGCGGCTGTACCAGCCGAGCCATGCAAGCTGTAATTCAAGTGGTCATTATCCGCCTTTTGCTGGCGCATGGCCGTCGCCCGCCACCGTTCCCAGAAGAAGCCTTGCCAGTTGAGTCCAGTAGTGTGGCAGCAGATAAAATGCCAGGTTCTCTACGGTGGAGAATACCATGAAGTCAAAAAAATCAAAAGGCCACGGTTGATAACCTTTACTGAATGGTTCACGTCAGCTCAAATCCCCACTTCTGCTCCTTCTCAGAAATCTGATGGTGATTTGGGGGAACTTATGTTCTGGCCGGAGGGAGGCAGGCAGCGACCTAGTGGACAAGAACAACGGCTCGGTAGTTGTAGGTAGTACCTCGATCCTAAAGAGATGGAAAGCATGTGCAGAAGAGACAGTGGCAGCAGGGGCAACCCCGCAAAGGGACATAGAAAACCGCTTTGTAAACGACAGAGGATGAGTTCGAAGCTGAATGTTGGCGTGGAAAGCTACAGAACAACGTCAAACACAAATAAAGATTACCCCATCAAGAATAACATGGAAGGAACCATACATGAAATATGGACTACGCTCCAGTAGCATCGAAGAGGGACAAAATGTATCGCAGCACCTTATTCTAGTTGATTGGTATACAAATTACATTAGAACACGAATAAGCATTTCTAAAAAAATCAAATGGATTTGAAATTAAATGTGAAAATACCATCAAGTCTTACAGAGATGAAACCGAACTAGAAGCCAACGCCTAGATACCAGTAGTATAATTATGAAAGTTAATATTCACAATATCCGTACTGTAAATTTCAAACTTTATACAGAGAACCTAAGCCTCCAATTAAGCACTAACTAGCATGATGACTCTTTTGTGTATGCCACTCGCTAATATTCTATGCAAATAATTCTAAAATTTTCAAATTCTTTCCATTTTTTTCTTTAAAATAAGCTCCAAATATATCAGAAAATTTGATACGCTTTCTACCTAGTATGATAGAATAATGTGGAAGTTTTTACATTACAAATTTCGGGGCATTCGTTTTTGCATATAATATGTATATGGATATCTAGAAAAGTCACAAAATGTGAAATTTCTACATAATCCTCAGTTAAAAAAAGGTGGCTTTTGTCAACGTATTTGCTGTTCAAGCAAAAATTCAAGCGGTCGCATTCTCACAAACAGTAATACTTGTAGTATCTATAATCATCACAATTTTACCTATGATGGTTAAGTTTATCATATCTCTATGTCTTTATGTTTCCATATGATTTCAAAAGTAGATAAACAAAAAACTTCATAATTCTATTATTCAAAGCATTATTTATTGCCCGTATGACACCCCTTATTCATATACAAAGTACAATTTTTACAATACAGACTACTATCGTAACAAAGGAGTGGACAAAACCTAGTACTTGAAACCTACAAGTCATTATCACGGAAAGTATATGAAATATGCTTTAAAACTATTCATTCGTCTAAATTACTTTTGGCCTTCTTATGTAATCGACGTAGAATATAATAAGTAACATTTCACTCATTTTTTTTCATAGATGGTAGTATGAATTTTCTCACATTAATATTCTTATACATTTAGGTTATCATACATGTAGTAGTAGATCTGTCTCCTCACAGTACCACTTACGGCTAGGCACTATTCGTTTCGAGAATTATTTGACTTGAAAGTATCTTTCTACAAATTTTTTTCTCTTAATCCATATGGCCTACTCTCTGATGTCTTACATAGAGATGAATGGAAATATTCGCATCTTAATTTCAGACAACAACAGACATCCCAAAAGTACTCCAAACACCAAGAACATTATTTGAGTCTCCACCATCTACAGGAAGTTTATAATGTACAGCAAATTTGCAAAAAAATTAAAGCCCGATGCCAAAAATATTTCACACCACCACACGTATTGATTTTGTCACTAAGGATATCTATCATCAGGTTGTCATATGCACGTAAATTTGAAATTATAAGAACGTAGATGACTAGTGCAATACTATAGCAAAATAAATCAAAGGTATATACCTTCAGTAGAATAAACTGTTCATATCAGAAGCTATAGATAAAAAAGTAATAACCTTCAAAAACTCCAGTACATCAAAAATTAAAATAGCTAACTATGTGATCATCCGCTAAGGATTAGAATCCAAAGTAGTGAATTGCACAATGAACTCGAAGCCGTGAATATTTAACTTTCCAGTAAACCATGTAGATTGGAGATGTTCCCAAAATTTTCGTCGTGAACTTTATAAACGGATTAAACAGCTTTGACTTCATTTTGGAAACATCGTTGTTGATGGAAAAAAAATGTAGCCTTTCGTCCATGAGAGTCGAAAGTCTGCATAGATTTTAGACACAAAGTGTACCACCAAGTTACAGAAGCTCATGTGGCTGATTGTCCAAGCACGAGCACATCCTTGTCCAATGCTGGGTGTAGAAGTCATGGCGTGGAAAGGCTAGGAAGGATTGGAACCAATGCGGGTACTATCGGCGCAATGACCCTAGCCTACATCGAGAGTTGGTGACAAAGGGAGCACGGACAAAACCAGATGACTCCTAGCGAAGATGGTAGCAGAAAATTAGAGACGGGCCGCTTTTGGTCAGAGGGCAGGCTAGTGCACGCACTTTGATGAGGAACAGCAAGGAGGTCGGAATGTTTTCTTGGATAAGAAAGACGCTGAACCGTAAGAATCTGGCCCAAGTTGCAATACTGTGAGTGAGCTTTACGCTCCAGGAGCTTGCGTGGCAGCTCGACTCCAAAGGAAAAGCGAGTATCACTCCAAACAAGTGCGTAGATGGCCTCGTTAGGTACCTGGGCCTAGTTTGTGGAGAAGATAAGTCTGCATTCTGGACTATGATCGAGAGATGTTGAAAGTTTTTGTGGTCTAGCGAATTTTCATTTGCTAATGAGATGAACAGAGGGCGAAATTGGAATCTTCCATCCTAGGAGTCATCAATGAGACTAAAAAGTATGATGGATTACGTAAAGATGCGGACGAGCATGATAGAGATTGTCAGAGAATAAGAAGGGAAGACAAAACGACGGGTCCAGAAGTTTCAACAACGCAAGTGTCCATCATCAAGACAAGTAACAAAAATCCTCAAATACTGTCTACATCGCAGAACGATTACTTGCTAGACGGAGAGGATCCACAACTGAATGAGCGAGTGAATCTACCCAAAAAAATAAAAAATTCAAATCAAGGATTTCTAAAGTGCATACAAGTCACTGATGTACATTAAATCTCACAGAAGAAAGCCAGTATCTGGCATAAATACTTAAAGAAAAGCCTAAAACACGGTTCGTCTATCACTCGCCGGTAGGTCAAAATTGGTCTTTAGCGCCTCGGTTGAGATTTTAAGAACCACAAATCACCATTCATTCTGTGCACCCAACAAAAGCACTTCAGTACAGGGTTAAGTGTGAAATACATGGATCAGCAAATCTCGCTGAAATAAGATTATCACGGCAAGGAAGATGCTATACCTTTTTCTCAAACCTCGAGCAATTTTTGTGCATCCGTCTTTAACAGATGGCAAACTAGCCTAGAATGTGTGCTAGATGTACAGCAATTCCAACTGGGAACAAATTATGTTTCCTCTACACAGGATCTGTACTAATTATGGCTACGAAGTCATAATGGAAAACATGACTCGTAAGTGTCTTGCCCTATCCTTCACGTATAGGTAAAGCTCAGCTCAGGGTCTACGTATACACAGGGTGGCTGGCTACCAACCTTACCTTAAAACCTCGTTCTCAATCAATTTACAGAACGGACTTGAGAGCTACGACCTTCGGCACTCTCAGGAAAAGTATTGAGTCTCTTAGAGGGACAATATTTCTTGAGGATAGATACGAGAAAGACGACCCGATCGCAAAAAGCTAGATGCTCCGACAGCTAAGTCTTCATTATTCATCAATGACTCGCCTTGCTTTCTTCTGCTGCACAGCTGCTGGGCTGAACGGTGGTCGACGACTCATTTGGAGGGGCAACTTGTCCACATTGACAGGACACGCGTTCTCATCGAGCTCTCCAAGCACTTTCCCTTTAGACATATCCTGGAAAGAGCCTTTTCTCTCCAGGACACCAGATTTCGCGTTGACCTTGCGAGGGAAACTTTGAGATTCCGTCTCCGGATTAGTAGTGATCAAGAATCGATCCAACGACTTGCGCTGCTTGTCACCAGCGTTCTTATCGAAGATCTGCAGTCCTTCCACTTGTTTCTGAAGTCCCCTGTTCTTCCTGGTACATCCAACACGGCAATTTTGGCAGCTATGCTTAGACTTTCCGGATTGGAACAGAGAAGTAGAAGAGGAGATTCAAGTTACAAGCCATGAAAATACGTTCGATAATCCTACATGATAATCATAATCTTGACAGAACCGTGCACAACGTACTTGCACCATAATCCGCTAGTTTGACTACGAGGAGTTTGCTTAAGGAGTTCATTTCTTTGGAAACTTGAAAGTGCACCATCAACACACATCAGTATCTTGATGACGAGTTTGGGAAGCATACCTTTGAAGCCCGTCAAGTTGTTTCTCCAACCTTATGTTCTTCCTGCAAGGGTGGCATCATTTTACATAGGTAAGGAACAGCAGTTTCTTGGTGACTAGAAAACAAATTTGAAGCAGACAAAGACGAATACATAAAATGAAAGCAAAATGTATATAATATGCATACCTCACGAGTGAATCGCATAATTCCAAATAGTGGGTCAACTCCTCTTGAGTCGTTGGCTTGGCGGTCACTGTAGAGGTCATATCTTCTTCTACACCTCCATTTTGAATTGGCTTTTTAGATACAATTTCATCCTGAATTTTGAGTTTCTCCAACTCCAGCGCCTTCACTACCGCTCTGAGTCCCGAGATCTCATCATGCACCTGCTTAATGATGAGATTCTTGGTGGCTAAGTTGGACAATGCAGCGTCTAACCTTACAGCCAGCTTGTGAGCTTCTTGCTGCGATTCCTCCGATTGGAGCCTGAGTATGACCAATTCCTTTTCCAGCGCTTCATTGGCCGCAACCAAAGTGCAGTCATCTGCAGAGTCTTGCGATTCATTGAAAGCAAACTTTCTGAACTCACCGTTTTCTCTCGTACTTGTGATGCGTTTCCAGGCAGGTGGTAAAAGCGCGTCAGCCGGAGCCTGGCTCGACCCAAGAGTCGCATGGATATCAAAAGTGCACTCAAAACCACTACCTTCAGTCTCAAGGTCCTGCGACAGCATCTTGTGCTCCTTTCGCAGCTGTACGAGGAGATCTCTCTCGCTCTTCTGAGACTGTTCAAGCTGTCCGAGGAAGCTTTGCATCTTCATCTTCCTTGCAAGCACCTCCTCCTCGGCCGCAGCTAACTGCAGTTGCAACCTGTTATTTTGCTCAGTAAGAGATTGCTCCTTCAGTTGGTGGCCTTCAACCTGTACCGTTAACTCGTTGAGAGTTTTCATAGCCTCTGCCAGCTCTAACTGTACGCCTTCTCCTTCTTCGGCTGCAGCTTCTGCCTTTCTCTTCCAATCCTCTGCAACCGCCTGGAGACCCGCTAGCAGGCTATAAGACTCACTAACTTTCCTCCTCCCTTCGATGAGGTCCTTTTCCATCTCAGCCAACAGTAGACCATTTTTCCTTTCCTCCCTCAGTGCTTCCTCCCTCCTTTCAATGGCCTCTTTCATCTCCAAAACCTCCTGACTGTACTCCTTGCCTTGGCCTTCGGCAGTCTCTAGTTTCCGTCTTAGTTCCGTGACTTCAGCCTCTGCGGCGGCAGCCTTCTGCTTCCATTCACACAACGATTCTTCCATGTTGCTGGAAAGAGAGACGTAGTAAGATAACTTCTCTGTTTTCTCCTTAACATCTTGCTCTGACATTTCCAACGTCTTTTGCAGCTCGGAAATCTGTTGTTGATTCTGCTCGGACTTAGCTTGCGACAGATCCAGCTCTTGTCTCAACCTTGAACCATCTTGAGAAACAGCAGTCTCTTTCAATCTAAGCTCGAGAAGTTCTGCCTGCAAATCGCTCACAGTCGAGGCAAACTTGCTGGCATCCTCTTCACCTTTTCTCAAGATTTCCTGTAGATCTACTACCCTCACTTCTGCCAGAGCAAGCGCGGCCTGGGACGCTTGTTGCTCCTGGGAAGCGTTCAGTGCTTTCTCTTTCCAATCATTCAACTCCTCCTGCAAAGCAGTGACCGAAGCAAGATGCTGAGTTATAACATCTGTTTTCTCTTTTAGCTCAAGCTGTGCCTGCTCCAAGCTTATCTTCGTGTCTAAAGCCATCTGCTCGGTTTCTAGAGCTCTGGTGGTAGTCGTCTGAAGCTCATGCTTCAGTGACTTCTCCTCGCGAATGAAGGTATCGGCCCTTTCTTTCCACTCTGCAGCCTCGACTTCCAACACATTCATCATGGATACATACGAAGATAAAACCTGCGACTTTTCAGCCAATTCAGACTGTGCCAATTTCAACTCTTCCTGCAGCTTTGTGAGCTCGGTCTGACTGTCTTCGGCCTTCGTCTCAGCTAGAGAGAGATTCTCCTGCAGCATTTCTACATCAATTTCCTTGCTAGCCAGAACTCCCTCAACAACCTGGAGCCGCCCTTGTGCCTCCTCCAAAGAGGCACTCAGAACACGAATGCGAGCATCGCGATCCAGCACACCTTGCGAGGAAGCTTGCAAATCCTCTGATAGTTTAACCACCAAGGCTTGAGACTCTCCTTCTTGAACAGCTATTGCTCTCAAGTGCTCAACTTGAGCTTTCAGGCTGTCGATCTCCTCAGACTTTAACGCTGATACCACATTTGCATTGTCAAGTCGACTCGTAAGTTTCCTCACCGTTGCCTGTAGCTCTTCATTAGACGATTGCAGTTCAGCTGCCTGTCCCTGAAGCCTTGAAACGCTTTCCTGCATGCTAGTCTGCCTCTCATCTTGAAGCAGAAGCTGCTCCTTGGCAAGTCGCAATTCCCGTTCACGTCTTTCCAGGAGATTGCCTTGCTTTTCAAGGCCTGATTGCACAGTATCCAACTGAGCTTCCATATCCTTCAGCGTACAGTCCTTTCTCCCATGCAGATCCAGAAGTGATTCACATTTTTCCTTGTAACGAGAAGATTCCTCCTGTAGTGCATTTGTCTGCACCTCATACTTTTCAAGCTGAGTGTGGGCAGCCGAGAGTTCTTCTTGTAATTCACACACCGTAGACTGGAACTTGGTGAGACGATCTTCTGAACTCTGCTCCAGCTGTTGCAACCTCCCTTGTAAGTCCTTCACAAGCTCCGCTGATAAACTTGCTGCTTCTTTTGTTCTTTCCAGATCCTCACAAAGTCTGTTCATGTCGAGCTGTCGAGCTGACAGCGCCCTTTGTTCATCTGCCAACTGAGACTTCAAGCTCTCTATGGCTCCTTCCATGACCTGGCGCAAATCATTTCCTTGCTTGACCTCCATTTCCGATGCGACAAGTGCTTCCCTTTTCTCCTCCAGAGCAGTTCCAACGATTTCGAGTTGAGAAGTCATATCAGATTCCTTCCTTTTCCACTCGGCTGCTCCTCGGTCCAGATCCTCCATGCGCTGGTTCAATAGCTCAACCTCCTGTTCCATAGATTTTCGTGACGCCGCTGCCTCTTCCAGGTAGCATTCCATCTCGATCAACTCTCCTTCCTTTCCTCGCAGCTGGCGTTCTAAGTCGTCCAGGTTCTCTCGCAAAATAGCTTCTTCACGCTCTTTCACATGGAAAGCATTCTTCGCCTTGGTAACATCCAAAGCCAACTGCTGCACAGCCCATTCCGACGCTGCGAGCTTCTCCTCCTTATCCTGAGCGATGGCTTTCGCTGCTTTCAAGTAGCCTTCAAGCTCCTTGATCTTCTCCTCGGCATGGCGTAGCTGAGAGTCTACCTTGTGAGCATTCTGGATCTTTGCTTGTAACTCCTTAACCTCAGTGCATCGAGAAGCCAAGCTTGCTTCGATCGACTCCACCTTGTTGCACAATTTGTTAATAGAAATCCTGCTACTCTCAACTTCTTGAACCAGCTCATGTTTCTTTGCTTCCAGAATTTGCACAGCTTGGTGCATTGCATCTTTTTCAACAATCAATGACTTCTTTTCCTCGGTAAGCTTAGCAAGAGTGCTCTCCTTCTGATCTAAATCCTTCAAAAGAAGTTCCTTTTGAGCACTCTCTTCCTCAAGCTGCTGTGTAACAGCTTTCAGACGCATAGATGAAGTGGACAATTCGCGTTGAACTATTTCCAACTTCCTCTCGATCTCTGCCTTCATCGCTAAATGTTCCTCTTGAGACCTCCTCAGCTCCTCTTCCAGTGACTTTCGTGCGTCTTCGAGAATCTTAAGCTCTTCGGCATCTTTCGCAGCTTGTGCTTTCATTGCAGATATGTGTTCCTCCATGTTGCAGTGGAGATCAGTCGTTTCTTTTACCCTCTTCTCCAACAGGGCAACTCTCTCATTCTGAACCGAAAGCTCTGTGGCCTTCTGCCCCAGTTCCGTCTCCAGTTCCTTGATGTCATCTGTTAACTTCTGCAGGGTTATCTCCTTGTGACTTAAGGCGGCAGAGAGTGACTCAGTCTGGTTCTTTGCTTCCTTCTTCAACTTCTCCATCTCGAGCTTCTCCAATGCAAGCAGTTCTGTAGCTGTTTGGGCCTGCAGACTGTGCTCTTCTATCTCCTTGACGACTGATGCACACCTACTCTCGAGCTTCGAGATGACTTCCCGGTGTCTTTCTACTGTGTGGTGGGCCTCCACCAATTGTTGATCTTTATCACTCGCTGATTTCTCAAACAACTGCAAATCTGTGACGAGCTTCTCCCTCTCTGCCAACCATAATTTCTCTTGTTCATTCCTCCTCAAGGTCAAGGATTCATGAATCCTGTCCATCTCCCTTCGTTCAGCATCTCTTTCAGTGAGAAGCTGCCTTAAAGACTGGCACTCATTATGCATCTCCCGCCACTTTTCCTCGTGCGCATTGAGCTCTGCAATCGTCTGGTTCAGAAGAGAAACTTGGGCCTTCAGCTCCTGAATAATCTTGTCCTTACCGTTCAAAGATTCAAGCATCATGGCCTTCTCAGTATGGCTGCTCTTTTCCAAGGATGCCAAAGCCAGTCTGGAGTTACCGGCCTCCACACACGCCCCTTCAAGCTGCTCCCTCGTTTGTTTGAGTTGAACATCAAGTTCAGACCGCTGAACTTTCACATGCTCTAGGGCTCCCTTTAGTCTTTCCAGCTCGCCGTCGAGCTGCTTCACAGCTTGGTCTTTTGCTGTCAAGTCGTCATTAGCCAAATCCAAAGCTTTAACCATCTCCTTTCTCTCCTTTTCAAACCCTTTCTCTTGCTCCTTAACTCGGGCCCGTAGGGAGTCATGAGCTTCTACAAGATGAGACATCTTCTCCTTCATGTCTGCCATCTGTTTCTGCTGTTCTCCATGAGTGGATAACCAGTCCCGGTATTCCTTCTCCATGGTTTTCAGTTCACGGAACTCTTGCTCCATGTGCAAGAATGTAACTTGCAGATCCTTGAGTTGCCTATCCTTCGCTCCCAGGGTGTCCCTCAGGGATCCTATCTCTGTACTTGTCTGCTGCCTCAAACTCTCTATGGAGGACTGGGCAGCTTCGCAATCCGCTGTTGCCTGTTCAAGACCTTGACGAGCCTCCGCTGCCTGTATCTCAAGTACTTTGCGGCGACTTTCTTCGTGAGCAAGCGCCTGGTGGACCATTTGCAATTGATTTTGGACTTGCTGCAAAAGTCTTTCTTTGGAGTCCAAGGTACCCTGTAGGGTATCAATTTCTGATAGCATGCCACTTCTTTCTGAATCCCACTCGGTCTTCCGCACTCTGAAATCCGTCCGCAACTTGGAGTGAGCTTCTTCAAGTGATTGAAATTGCTCGTTCCGCCATTTCAAGCGACCATTCAGCTCTTTCTGCTGCTGTTCAACCTCTTCAAGATGTTCTTCTCGATGCTTCAGCTCCTTCAAAGCCTTTTCGGCGGAAGCTCTCTGCGACTTTTCATGACTGAGAGCGCTCTCACAATCTTTAAGTCGCATCCTCATTGAATCAACTTGAGAGCTAGAGTTTTTCAGTTCAAAGAGCTCCATTACTGTGGAGTCCAGCTTGGATTGCAGTTCGCTCACCATTGATGAGCTTTCGCTAGCCTTGCTCTCTGCCTTAGAACACCTCTTCTCCATATTGGCGGTTTGCACCTTAAACCTGGACAAATCATTTTCCAGCTCTCTCAGCCTGGCACTCTGCTCTTCGCACTTTAGCTCAGACGCTTCAAGTGCATTGATGACTTCTTCCCTCTCTTGTTGCAGCTTATCCTCCTTCCTCTTGTGGGAACCACGAAGCTGGTCATGGGCGTCCTTAAGGCTTCTCAGAGCAGACTCCTTCTCTAAGAGCCTCATCTTCAAGTCGTGACAGTTTCGTTCCAGATCGATGCATTCATTAGCTCTGTTCGCCTCGAAAGAACCAGACTCTAGAAACCGACTTTGCACCTCAAGCTTCTCAAGAGCTTGATTCAAACGCAACTTTTGATCCTCCCGTTCTGCTTGCAGATCCCTTGCAGCAGATTTAGCAACTTCCAGTTCCACCTGCATATGGAGGACCTTGGATTCTGCTAATTCTTTTGCCTTCTCCACCTCAAGCCGGTCGCTTTGGACTCGATCTACAGATTGCCTTATCTCTAGAAGTTCTGCCTCTAGCTGACTGATCCGCTGATCTTTCTGTATAGACGGGACCAAACCATCGCTGAGATGAGACACGGCGTTCTCTTCGTTGACTGCCAAAGAGCTAATGCTATCGGAACAAGCGGTTCCATGATAACTGGGAGGCAACTCATTAGATATTTGCAACTCCTGAGCCTGGTTAGACTCCGTGTTCATTAGATCCTGTTGCTCACATGGATCTTCAACTATATCCTCGTCGAAGTGCTCCAGCGAAACACTTGAGGCTTCCATGTGCACTGGACTACACGGAAGAGCATCATAATCTAATCGTCTCTCACTGACCAAATCACTTGGAGGTTTTGCCGTAAACGCATGGAGATCATGAGTTCTGTCCTCCTGCAGAATTGGCGAGAAACATATCCCACGTGATTACATGAATCAGCTATCTAAAAGTTTTAACCATCGAAGGCGCGAATGCATAACACTATGCGTAAGCTGGAAACGACATTCTTGAAGGTTTCATGTACACAGTAACGCGACGTTGAAACTGGAATTGAGACTTTCGAGAGATTCCAGCTTTACCTCGTGAATTTGAGCCTGAAGCTGGCCACCCTCCTGGCACACTGTTCCTGTGTCAGATGGTAAAAATGTTAGCCACATTATCTGACCTTCAGGCGCAAACAACACAAGACATGTGGATCGTTACTCATCCATGAACGAGAGTTTGACCCACCAATGGAATTCGAGCATACTATATGAAAGGTCACAAGTCGTCATATACCTCCGTCTTTGAGGGTGGAGTCAGCCTCCTCCACTTCCCTGAGTGTCATCGTCATCCTTTTGGCTTCCAGAAGCAAAACTCTACATGATCGCTTCGTTGACTGCAATGTTCCCTCCCAGCATGCCTCTGATGTAGGCCTAATGTTCCACACACAAACGAACAAGTGACTTGTGAACTCTCTGTTTCTACGTGCCCAGAACAAACGATTTACGATTTATGACTCGGACTTTCTTCTGCATCACAGTATCTGAGCTTAGAGATAAGGCAAAGCATCAACTCAGAGGCAAACCCAGAGTTTGAAACACTGATCAGGAGAAACGGTAGGGGGATTTCGACCAAAGTCGGGAAGTCTTATAGAGCGTCGAACCTTCTGCTTTCGTCAACAGTGCTCGCATCAGATTACTAATCCGAGGACCCAACGAGTGAAAAAAGGCGGCGGTCGACTACAGGACTTGCCTGAAATTTGCACTGTGAAGCTCTTGTCAATAGTTTTGAAAGGCAACAAGAGTGGGAAGAAGAGTAGTAAGAAATGCGGAGCGGGTGTCACTACAAAATGCTACCACGGCCCACCCATGATACATGTAAAGAACGGTTCATCAAAGCAGGCAAATATTTATACTAACTGCTATAACATCGACGCATTTGTGATCTTTGACCAAAATCACCGAAATCGAAGGTCGCGATGCCGCTCGTCGTTTACAGGAGCAGCGGGCTGTGAAAATTTGAGAATCGATCATGTTGACTAACTATTATCTTAAGGAGCTGGTTCCTCCCGGTAGTACAGTCAAAGACTCTGCCAGTTGAGTAGAGCTGAATAAATTCTGTACGATTGCTCATTCCACTCCACTCAAAGATGAGGTAGAGTGCAGTCCTGAAAAGAGAAAAGGGCAGCAGTTCGACAAGATAGCTAAGATTGCAGAGCTCGGCATGTCTTCATCAGGAAGACAAAAGTCCACGCTCATGTCATGAGTGAGCTATGGGCGTCAGTTGGCTTCAGTCGATTTTCCTGGGCACTGACGCCTCTTCGGTCGACAATCGACAGAGACCAGAACGTTCGCACGAGTGCCCTTTGGATTTTCGTTTATCATCGTGCACTGTCGAAATTTTGAACAGTAATGCGAGACTGTGATCAGATTGTAAAATAAGCCGTTCTATTCATATTCCACCTATCATTATCGACAACTTCGAAATCAGATTATACCAACTGACCTGAACGATGAGAGGGCAGGCAACGATATTTATCACCAACTCGTAACGCCAGGTCGATCCGTGAGCCGCTTCACTCACAACAAGATGCAATTCTCAACACTATCTAGCCTCCGGATTTCCTCGACGAACGCTTGGAACCAAAACACTAGAGCCCAACATCTTTCAGCAACAACGCGTCTCCATTACGTCTGAACATTCCGTTCAACCAACGCCTGCAATCGCCTCGCCCGCAAGAAACCGCAGTCCCGCCAACACCACCGATGGTTCCTGTGATCGCCGTGACGCAAACCAGAGATTTGCACAGGAGGCGATGCCGACCTCTCCCCGTCGCAAAAAGACTCCTCCGCGATCACATCAAAGAGCTCGTTCGGGACCCGGACGATCGGCACTCTGCAGAATCACAATCGCGTGCATCGAGCTGACCGACGAAGGATGTAACGAGCCACGGAAGAGGCTCATGCGTGGAGTCGAGCGAGGTGCAGACGGGGGAAGCACGAAATTTGAATCTGGATTCAAACGTTCATTCCCACCGGCACGGACCGCGGGTCAGTCGGGGCCGGAAACTCCGCCATCGTGGTCGCGACTTTGTCGTGTAGGCCTCCTCTGAGCGAGTAGAGCCCCGCTATTCTTTCCCTTTCGTTCTCGTTGAACGGTTCTATCCCCATTTAGCTTTCACCAAATTTTTGAACATATCTTATTACGGTAGTAAATGTTGCTGTGTTCTAAATTACTGGATAAGCATACATCTGACTTCAAAACACATGTGGAATAGCAATTTTGCATGTCATATTGCATTGTTCAATATCACATATACTTAATTATTATTTTTCAATGTGATATATTAATGTATATAAATAAAAAAAATCTTCATTTATCTACATGTATGATATAATCTCAATATTTAATATGACATATGCTATCAATTTAAATGTTTAATAAAAAAAATTTATATTTCTTGTGTTTTACACATTACAAATAAAAAGTCTTAAAAATAAAATATCCACTAACCTTTGTTGATAAAGTAAACATTGGTAGTTATGTATTTGAAATATGACAGAAAAAGCAATCTTATTATAAATGAAATAGATTTTCAAATTAAAAATAAAAATAAAAATGTAAGAAATTATTGGACATTAAAAAATGACACAAACTATGAAAATCAAATAATATCTTTTGATGTAATATTATTAGATTAGAATAACAGAAATAACACATGTATGATACATACGTTGATTTATCCATTTTAAAATTTATTTATTGAATAAGATATATTATCAATCCAAGATATGCAAAATAGCCAAAACTAGTTCACAGTCTTACACATAATAAACCTGAAATGACAAACACAAGAAGTCGGTTTTCACCCAGGTGTAGGGCTAAGTACACGGTTGTAACATGGCAAAATGTCTACATTCTAAAGTCACTCGGGTTAAGTACCCCCAGTCCCTCGCGATGCTTCTTAACTACATATAGCTAGGACCGAGGATACTCGTTAACAAGAATAAACCTTAATTTATCTTCATGACGATACATTGATATTAAATCTATGAAACAGTATTTTTATGAAAAATCAACAATTTTCTATATAAGTTTGATGAAATTTTTCTATAAAACTTGAGATACAGCTTTTTATAAACAATAAGTCTTGAGAATTAGTGAAGCTTTCAAATTTTCAACTTTTGATAATATAATAAGAAAATGAATATATAGGCTGAATTTTTGTTCAATGAATAATAATATCATTTTTTCAAAATCAGTTTTTTAATTAATATTTCACACACAAAAATAGATTTAAATTAGAATATAGTTACTTCGATCTTATCAAAAGATTAAAAATCTTTGATCTGTTTTTAAGATATAATCATTCAAGCATGAAGAATTGTGTAGATGAAATTGTATGAGATTTGATCGTTCTAATACATCATGATGTTAAAAAAGATATTTCAAATTAATATTATGTCAATGTGATGCTGAAATGTGTTGAATGCTTATATATTGATTAAATGTGCTAGTCTTTTGGAGAGTTATATAGATTGCAAATATCAAAAGTATGTGAAAATGTCTCAATGCGAAAATTGTATGTTCCAACACTCCTCATTCAAAGTGAATCAATGATTTTTGTTGTGAAGTTACAAAATGTTATAAGTCAGGTTACAAGAATTTCTTTTGACATATCAATCATATAGTCTTCCAATTTCTGATTCGTCTTTGATCTAACCGATTTATTTCAATTATTAACTTTGACAATACATTTTGTCTAACTTCTGCATTGAAAATGATAACAAATTCCATTTTACTTTATAATTTCAAAAGATATGGCATTTTCAATCTCAATATGGTAATTCAATTTCATTATACATTTTTTAGTTTGTGATTTGAAAACCAACTTCCTCTAATATCCCATATAGCTTTCATAGTTGAATTCAAACATCAAACATTGTGCCAAATGTTTCATAGATTTGTTTTCAAGACTAATCAAGATAAACAATGCTTCAGAATTATGTTTTACTGATCATTATTTTAGATTATTATACATTTGGTTGGCCAGAATGCTTTACAACTCATATGCTCTACTCATTAATGAGAATATGAAAATGTACAACAGTGCACAAAAAAACATAAATTATATGCAAATTTTGTTACAAGAGTATTCCATGATGTATTCGCGAGAAGTAATTTATTTCTCACATATCTAACAATCCAAGCAAAGATATTGCAGTGTATTAGTTCACATGACACTTCATAGCTGTTTAATATCTCATCAGATATTGAATTTATCTCATTATTATTTTCAATTATGCAATATATCCGTTTTGAAAGTAACATTTAACAGAATTTTTATAATATTCGAAATTTTTGAATAATTTATCTTGTATATGTTTATTTTTTGCAAGTTCATTCAAAATAGATTTAAACGGTTTTTAACTGTATTTTGTTTTTTTCATATAACTATTGCTAATCTTTTAGTCAAATATACAGGTATAAAGTAAATAGTTTTGATGAAGATGACGAATTCATTACTGTGTAATCCAAATTTTAAATAATTCAAAGCTTCATATGTGTGAAGAATTTAATTTATCAATTCTAATAACAAAGAATCATTTACTGTATTTCAAATAAACATGACACACAAATAACACATCATACGTAAAGCTAACTTTCATTTTTCTGAATAAATTTCTTTCACCTTTAAGATACTTACATCAGAAGTTAATAAACATACAAAGAAATAATATCAATGTCTGGTGTCAAAACTGATAAAAAAAAGCCTTAAAAATAGTTTGAAAGAAAAAAATACATATTTTCTAATTTATCAAAATAATGTTAATAATTTTTTTAACCTTATTAATTTTAAGATAAATTATTCATTGACAATTATCATGTGTACGTAAAACAATATGCATCAATTAATATAATCTTCGGTCATAATAGCAAATTAAAATTTCTAAAATTTAGTCTATGATTTGCAGTCTGCTTACCAGGCAAGAAAAAGAATGTCCAATGTTAAGGTATGTTGCTGCGAGTGTGAAAGATTATAAATGTGGTTAAAATATATTATCAACATTTTTTATATTTGTGATGTAAAATTATTCCGATATTAACTGATAAAAGAGTTAGATTGCTTCAAGATGTATAAAATAATTAAGTTAATAATATCAATATATTAAGAATTTCATATTAAAAAGCTTATAGCAATCCCACTGTGGAATAATCATTAGGTGAAGCATTTATTGATAATTTGACTTCAAATAAATTGCAGTTTTTAAAGCTTAACGATTATATCAAAAAATTAATAATCAAGATATATGTTAACATAGCAAGCAGAGGTAGAATAATGTTAGACTCAACAAATGTTGATAATCGAAACGCTTGCACTTTATTGATTGTATAAAGGAAATGTAATATATTGTTTTGTAATCTGCATTTGTAAAACATCCATGTGAAATGCACTAAGTATAAACTTTGATTTTCATAGAAGCAAATCAACACAACATTCATTGCAACTCAATCTCAAATTATCGAATTATATTGATTATTTCTTCACTTGAGTATAATTAGATTCTTATGGTATGCAAAAATGAAGAGTATAATGTAATACACATGTAAGAACCAGATTATTGCAATAGAAAAACATAATGATTTTATTTTTTTGTGGGCTCAAACTTCACTTTTGAAATACTACATAAAAATAACTATCAAGATTAATATTATCCAGAAGATAAACTAGTCAGATGCTACCGTACTCATTTCCATCCTTGTCATCACAATCTACGGCAGAACCACATGTCCCATTATATAGGAAAACAAGTATACGTCTAGTCAGAAGTTGCACCTCATTATCGAAGGATAAGAAAATTGTGTTGATGGGATGGCTAGGTGCAAAGCCAAGGTGTTTTTAGGTGAGCTTAAGGTCCCTTTAGTTGGCCACCTCGGAGCATCCTCTGCTGGACTGGTTGACTTTTTATCGTTCAGTACCAGAGAAAAAAAAGAGGCGCAAATGTTCGGATAATCGTGAGGGGTGAATAGCAGGCCGATTGGTTGCAGTCTGATGCTTTCTCATGGTACGGTTGCGATCAAAACACTTGTTAAAAATAAGGAAGAGAAAGGGTGCTTAGTGACAGATGAGATGAGTGAGGTGAAGACCATCCAACAGAAAACAAAGCAAGGACAAAGAACTTTTGTACATAATATGGGTACAAAAAACTAGGATATTAGAAGAATACTCTTGCAATATGGACAAAGCTCAAAATATAGACAAACGACTGTGGGAAGACCCTATAAAGTTAAAAAACATAGCAGTTGCTATGGGTGGAAACTTCAATTGGAAAATTGGATATGCTTTGTGTTCCACTGCAGTAGCTTACGCATCAGATATTCAGCTGTCCTACAGGTCAATCAAACTATCCAATGATTTTGTAGGAGAATTGGAGACTTGGGCATTTGAGCAGGCTATACAACAGCCTTAACGAAGAGTTTAAGGAGTAGGAAACAGTTCGAAATTTTACGATATCCTCGGGTCCACGTTCGATATAAATATAGTACTAATTCGCAGTTTTTCGAGTGGTTACAAGCCGAGCCATCACATTGCGCCAAGAGTACGGTGTGCAGGGGTGCACGTCAGGCACTAATTTGGCTCTCTATAGACAGACTCTTTTGACAGAGAGTGCCTCACGGTTGTGCTGCACCGCGAAGACCTTTCAGGCAGGTGACGAGGAAAGGCCGAGTGCTGGATTCGCTCAATTATTGGTCCACTGGAGTGAACTGGATATGGTGACGAGAAGAACATTCAGACACTGCCTGGATTGTGAAGAGGCTTGGGATTGAAACCTTCGCCCACAGGTGCTCTCTGATGTTCCATCTCGACACACTTGACGCTTCAGACTGAAAAAATCATGGGTCACATTTGCATTGAGATGAGAAATCATAATAGCGGACAATGAGATGACATTTTTAAGTGCACCCACATGAGCTTCAGACGACACATCCAGCACGGCATGACGCAGATAAATCAGACGTAAAATTTTATATGGAAGCTGTACAAGTCAGACGGCCCGTTTATTCAACTCGAAGCAGATGTTAAGAAATTTGGAGGTTCATTAACTCTTCCGGCGACGACGTAGTTCCCCATGTTTCCCTTCGTGATCCGGAGCTCCTCGTCAATGTAAGTGATGTCGAAATAGCCGTGGCGAACCTTGTCATCGTAGGAAAATTTAATTTCTCCGGTCTGCTCGTCCATCCCACCGGCTTCTTGGAAAATCTCCTTCCATGCTTCGAGATCCCTCTGCGGGTTGCAGGGTCGAATCGAGGTCTCGTAGAATGCAAGTCCCAATCTCGTGGCACTGTCGACGGTTTGCCGAGCTGGATTGACAATTATGCTTTCGATGGGAGGCAGATCGTCTCCTCGCGGATTTTTGGTAGTGAATAACAGAATGAGGCTGTAGATAGACTCTTTGTCAGGACTAGCTTCTTCCACGGGGTTGTAAACCTCACCCAAGATGATTTCCAGATCTGCGGGCTTGAACACACCGAATGTCGCTCGGCCGAGGGTCATGGACACTCCCTCGAAGCCCACTTCCGCTTTTCCTTCTCCTTTCCTGCCTGTTCCCTTGTGCCCTGCTTTGAGCTGGGTCCAGCATCCGACATACAATTCCGGGTAGAGCAGCGGTTCCGGATTGGGGTTGATTTTCTCGAGCTCGCCGATGGTAGCTAGGCACTCCTCGTTCAGATTTCCCGAGGCAGCTTCCATCTGATCGAAAAGCTGTTGCTTCAGCCGCGTCCTCTCCGCCGCAAGGCCTGCGCTTCCTGCTGCTGACGCCTGCTGCTGCTGCTGCTCCGCAGTGCTCGCTCTTATCAGACTAGGGCGGCGACGACGACAACGCAGTGAATCGATCGGTGCGTACGAGCTTGCGAAATCGACTCTCGAGTTCGTCCGGGAATCAGTAGTCCACTTACAATTGGTTCTGGCCAAATTGGATCGCCTGCCTTCCGCTTCGCTCACACCAAACCCGCTCCGGGTGTTCGCGATGGAAGCTAGCACGGTCGACGGCGTTGCGCTCAGGGCAGCCATCGCAGCCATCGCAGCTCACAGCTCACAGCTGCTGCTGCTGCTTTGGAAGAGGTTGTGTAAAATCCCGACCGCAATACACTTGCGTCGAGCTCGCGACTTCCGTCTCCGACTGCAAATCATTCGCGTGCTTCGGCGCTACTTGTAACTCGACAGTCGACAAGCCTCGGCAGAACTCGTCTTCGTCGCACTTCCGACCATTGGCGCACAGGGTGGAAGCGCAGCAGTTCTCGTGGGGCCTTTTTGATCGCTCCTCACGTCCATCCAATTCTGAACCGATCGGTAGATCACACATGTCCGCTTCGTGTCCTCTCTCGGTCAACAAAGTAGCACTCGAACGGGGCAATCATCGGCCCTGGACTGCATCGAACCAAACCCAGAACCTCCTTACGGGAATGACGAACGACGCGCCATAGACAAACTCATAAGTTTCGGTCGGAGGAGTGGAATCTTAAGTGGCTGCAACAGAATTCTTAGATTGGAAGTCTTGAGCCATACTTGAGGGCTTTTACATCCGACCACAATGAGAGAAAAATCTTTAATAATCTCAAGTTTTTTAGTTTATACACAGGAATGAAGACTGGATTATTGACTCTTCCGATTTTTTGAGCCAAATGATGCATGTCCAATCCTAAGCTGGGTCGCACGGAAAGTCTAAGATCGCTCTTCAATGCTTGGCATTTAATGATCGGCATCACTTCACTTCTCGTTGAATGAAGGTATAGAGGGGCAGTTTGGACCAGGGTATGACTTTTAGCTTCCATGCTACGAATATGAAAATTCGATCTCATTCGCGACCGTGTATAGACATCACTCGGTCCGTGAGGATTTTGGTAGCGCTTTTGGTAAGTTGATAGACTTATTCAGTACCACTAACGACGTAACAGTATACCAGGAGTGCAGGACTTGCACACATGCCACCATATCGACTGATCTTTCTTGGAAAGAGGTTGACACTTTTGTTCCCATGTCCAGACGACATGTTTGATGTAGAACAGAGTAGTTATAGCCAGCAGCAAGAAGCCAGAATATGATGGAAAATGGTGGACGGGTGATGCAGGAAAGAGTGGAGGGAAGACAAGGGGTGGTCCGAAAAGAAAGCTCACTCGATTATAATGGTATACAAATTGGTACAATTTCCCAAAAGGGTGTCCGCTCCTATTTCCCACTCATCCACCAACTAACTGCGTGTTTCCCCGTTCTGAAGCTGCTGCTCTTCCATGGAAGGAGGAGGAGGCGGCTTGATAACTGCTCTTTACCGTAGCTTCGACATCACACGAGCGTTTCAACAGCAAGTCTGGCTGCCAACCTCGGGCAAGAGGTTCGCTTGTATACTGATGCTGTTTGCGTATAGTAGATTCTCTGACATCCTGGATGCATCTTATTGGCAAGCTAACTCTATAGCCTGTGCCCAGAATTATTTACAGTTATATGCAGATCTTGACGTGTCTAGTTGCTTAACGTACTCTCTCAGCTACTCCGCTGATACATCACTTACAAAATTGGCTTCCGAGAAGAAAATCGACCCAGCGAGCAAGTCACTCAGCCTGTGTCACACCTTCCGTGAACGATCACAGGCATCATGGTGAGCTCGTTCGGTCTCGAAGAAGGCTGTCCTTGGGAATCAACCAAAAGAAAAGAGAAGGACCGTCAGTCGAATTTTGAGGAATGTCCGTCTCAAAAGAAGAGGGACGGCCCTTCTCGAATGCCATCCGTGCGTGCGTTCGTGCTGGATTGAGTGGGCCGTCCTACTTCTTGTACGTTCTTCTTTCTCCTTCCTTCTTTCCTCCGTTGCCTATGAACGAATCAACGTTGGAGTTTATAGATTGTGGAATGGCCACAAAAGTTCCGGCCTCTATCTCGATGGCTTCCACTAAGCCTCGCACGACTTGAGTCATGGTGGGCCTACTGACAGATCGAGCCTCCGTGCTGAGCAGTGCGAGCTCGGCCACATGCCACATCGCCTCCACGTTGTAACCATTCACTAACGCAGGATCCACTATAGCATGAATGTTGCCGTCTTGAAGGGACGATTTCACCTGCATCCACCCACGCCCAACATATCTGCTTCATTGTCTGATCGCCTCCAAGCAAAGCTAGCTGGCTCAAAAAGGCTTGACAAAGTAAGGCAATATTCCTTTACAAATTCACGTTTGTACAGTCTAGCAGCTTGCACGACAAACTTACCCATTGAATTATATTCGTGTTTTCAGTCGAAGCTCCGGTTTTGGCAGTTTTTCTGCCACAGATACTTTCTAGAAGCACTATTCCAAAGTTGAATACATCACTCTTGGTAGTCAATCTTTCTCCTGTGCTGAACCTGTGTACTCCAAGACATTCAAGTCATCAGAACATCGGCAAGTGCGACTCTGAGGCTGCTAACAGGAAGAAATGTTTGCAGCCATGCATGGAGACAGTTGTATGAGGCTCCGATCGAAACGTTCGAGTCATGTTAACTGGCTCGCGTTCACTGGCGGCCATGATGATTCTCTATCCTAGTACATTTTCTAAGGTGAGGTGGTTTGACCGTGTCCTGATGGGGACCCGTAAATTCTGACCTCCACATGTGCATTCTACACAAGCATCAAAGTTGAGCCTGAGAAGTTCCAAGTCACGTGCAAAATGCTCAAAATCAGTAATGACGAACAATGAAGTGGATCATCGGCTCAAGAGGACGTACTCAGAGTTCATGTAGCCAGAAGTGGCGCTCTCCTCTTCTCTGAGCTTTGAAAGTCCAAACTCAGCAACCTTTGCTATAAGCTCCTCGTTTAGAAATATGTTGCTGCTCTTCACATCACCATGTATGATGCGAGGGGCACACTGCGTGTGAAGAAATTGCAAACCTGTACATCCTCAAACGAGTTAGTAAGCTCGTGCATGCAGACTTTGACCAGGATACATGTTTTCAAACATGATGACCTCTTCTTTCACAATCCTCTACCTAAATCCATTTTCATGTTCAGTCATGAAGAGCTGAAAGAGGCTGGAGAGATTCATAGAATACAACTATTTACCGAGCTAGAAGCTCGTGTGCCTTTTAGATGGGAAAATCAAGTAGTGATGGGTAACAACCTCTCGCTGCATTCAAGGCAATTTCAAGGCGCGTCTTCCAGTTCACCGGTTCTGATTCACGAAGTTTACCTACAAAAATTTCACAGAATCAGTTAAAGATCAAGATTAATTGAAAATCCGAGGAGCCTTTCTCTAGAGGACTGTCCTGCTGTAAGGAGTTGTGCACCACTGTGGACATGAATTGATGAGTAAGTAGTTCTTACGGCTGGAAAAAGATACTACAGAGACATTTATCTCGAAAGATGTGATGTAGGTTTGAAAAGCCTACCATAAAGATGATCCCTTATGGTCCCCTTTGCCATATGCTCATAAATGAGCATTCGGTGCTGCGCTTCATCGCAGTAGCCAACGAGGCACACCAGATTCTTGTGTTGAATTTTCGAAAGAATTGCAACCTACGAGAATGGAAATGATCAACTCAGTTGCAAACGCCGTGACTACAGATCTTACCACCCGGAATCTCAAGGCAGACATATGACCCAGTCCAGGTAGTTAAACACAGTAGAGCTCAGCCGAAAGTAGCTTTATGCAGCAGCAGGCATTTATGTCAAGACCTACTTGTGTATACCGCAGCAAGAAGTAGCTGACATGCTCACCTCGCTTATGAACTCATCTGCAGTTATCCCGCTTTTAGGGGGCAGAGTTATCACAGCAACCAGTTTACCATCTGGAAGCGTTCCCTGATATACAGGTCCAATCACTCCTTCCCCAGTTTGAACTTTGAAATTATCGGTTGCTGTTTTCATCTCCTCAAAGGTGTATTTCGGAGCATCGGGTCGAGGAATGAATGGACCACCTCCACCACTGGTACCCATGACTGGATGAACTGGTGTTGTGTTTCCGTCCGAATTGTATACTTCGTAGGGTGTTCCTCCGTAATAGCCAGCTGAAATATAAGTGGCATGGGCACAATACAAATCATCATCCCTTTCAATTGCGACATCATAAAGCACAGGGCCCGGCGGCTCATCTCTAAGAAGACTAAATAAGGAAGTGCGTTGTGAAGTCTATGACAGCCTTGTCGGAGGAATACATACATGAAAGACGAGTCCTTTGATTCATTGGTCGCAACTTTCGACGACGGCGGCAGCAGAAAATAAGAAGTGCCATCATCAGGACAAGAGCTAATGCACCAAAGGAACAAATAATGATAATCTTTGTATTGTCTGAATTTTGGCCACCGCAAACCCACTGATAAGGAATGCAGAGATATGGATTCCCATAAGCCCTGGAAAAGATATTGAATGCAATGGTAATTCTAGTTAGATATCCACAAATACATGTCAACCTAACGACTATATGATTAAGTTAGAAGCAGCCTGTCATAACAATTACAAACGCATGTTGTAAAAATTCAAAGCTATGGAAATGAAATGAGAAGAATTGGAAAGTACGTGATCATGAAGCTTGAAGAGTTCATGAGCTGCTCGGGCAAGGTCCCGTTGAATCCATTGTTTGCCAGAAACCTGATAGATAAATACCGTGGGAACAATTTTCACGCAAATGCACGAACAAAGTTTGTGAATAAGCATACCAAAAAATCTATTTACCGACGAAACTTGTCCCTAAACCACTGTTTGAGCTGTTATCAGATACAAAAGTCAACGCTTTTTCAATTTTCTGAAGTTGATCATAACGAGAGCTTTAAGTAATGCTTACAGTTCCTTGAGCTGATGGAGTTCCGTGAATGATTCTGGAACGCTTCCCGTCAAAAGATTGTTCTGCAGATGCCTGTGAAGGAAACAATCTCATGAATCAAATAGAAAATTTAGAGAATTTTCATGGAGGAGGGTCCTCTTACAGCACACACACGTCAGGTTGATATTCTGGACGATGGACTTACAATCTCTGAAGGTTGACAAGCGGGGTGAAGTCTTCAGGTATGGAAGTTAGATTGTTGTTATCCACGAACCTGTGTGAAGAAACGAGTGAAGGTTGAATGAACACAAGAGAGTCGCAGCACAGAAGCCTACATTTTATCTCAACAATTCAAAAAGATTCGTCGACCAAAGTAACGAAGAACAACCCAAAGGGCATCCGGACAAGTCGTTGAAAACTAGAAATAAATACGGGTAAAAATGGCAACTTACAGGTCGACCAACATTCTCAACTGTGTAACTTCATTGGGTAGTGAGCCAGAGATGTTGGTGCTCGATAACTTTCTGCTCAAAATAGCCCAGAACACACCCAAACGATGTTAGGAGACTGGCGGTGATTTCGCCCAACTTGAAGTCCCCTTGTAGATGAAGCTAAATTCAAAATTCCAGCCATTCGTGTTGTACCCTCAAGCGGGAGATAGAAAACAATTTGCTCACAGATGGAAGGTATTGGGACGGGCAACACTAGTATCTCTAGAGAGTGATTGCAACAACGACACGACCATGAAGGAAATGGGCTTACAGAAACTGTCACGGTCGCGAGGGCGGATTAGGGTTTAGGGTTACTTACAAGGCCGTGATTCTTGGTGGAACAGCCGACGAACAATCTATCCAGTCCCATGGAGCTGGTGAGCATGGATCACCCGTCCACCCTAGCAAGCTGAAGTGAGCTTGCAAAACGTTGAGAATATCCACTGCATATCAAAAGGATGGATGATCATTAAAACATGTGGATTGCTTGGGAGCAGAATTTATCCAACAACCATTAAAAAACCCCAACTCAACTCATGGTCCCCAACCGGCTTGTCAGAGAAAGGTGTGGGTCAAGATTGACATTCACTCAAGATTACTAACTTTGCTTCTGTCTACTTATGTTTGAAAATGAGCTTAAGGTTGACCTCACCATCTGGCTGGTATGTAGTCTCATTCATGACTGCCATCACACTATACAGCTCCGCAGCATTCAGGATTGGACCCAGTGAAGATTCAAAAGCTTTGCCAAATGTGAAGTTTGCTATCCCCGAGGCCTCTACTTCACCAGCCGCTGACAGCATGCCGAAATTCCCGTAAGCGGTGACATTCAAGGTCCCCCACCAGACGTTGCCATTGAGGGAGATTTCCATGATCCGTTGATCTTTAGGATCGGTGGAATTGAGATCAGAGAAGTAAAAAGCAGCGTAGTATAGGCTGGCTGCAGGTAAAGGGTTCCAGGAAAAGCTGAAACTAGTATCTGATGCCCACCCACTTTGCAGCACCACAGATGGAGGGAAGTTGTTAGAGTTCGACGTCACTCCCTTTACGGTAGCATTGGAAGGAACATCAGAATTCTGGTCAGTCGGTGCCCACAACCGGTCGAAAACATCACTTGGGTACCTGCGGTCACGATTCAGGTAATCACAAAGTTAGCTCACCAACTCTTGTACACTCACATGCTACCATTTCCAAAGTTCCTCTGGTTGTGTGTATGCAGCCCTGCCTCTGAAGTTCCTTGCATCCTTGCTTGCTTGCCTCGAGTGAGAGTGAGTGCTCTACTTACGGAGGCGATCTTCGTTACCTTGTATTTGAATTATTCTTTGGTATTCTAAAGCCCTAGGAAAATGTAAGCTCGCAAACGGTGTTCTATGTATTTGGTACCCCACAAACGAAGTTCTGGACTCTGGAGTTCTAGGCCCAACCTCTCAAAGATCCAACTTCTATCTCGGAGCATGAACTGTTCATGCTCTCGTCTTGGGGAGCTTCCGATACTCATGGGATGAACTGAGTTTCATCCCAATTGCGAGAGCGTGCTAGTCGCGTCGTAGGCAGACTGAGAATCTCCTCCGGATGCCATAGTCTCTCAACTCAAGGCTCTGTTTCGCATCTATACATTCTCTCCACAAACTCATTTCGCTTCTGCGTTGTGCTTGCTCCTGGCTCTCCTAAACCCCAGCCCTGCGAGCCTTGCCTTGCCTTGCCTTAGTTCCAGGATTCCGGACCATTAATGCAAAGGCCCCTGGAGCTCGTGGTGCTCTACAGAACACGCGCACTGCTCTTACACACTCTTCGAAGGTGATCCATCTTAGGAGGACCAGACCAGGCCAGAGCACCTGGGCCCCTGAGGACAATCTACCCTCAATCTAGCGCGAGCATTCTGTATATGGTTCCCTCAAGCAAACCGGCATTTGTGGTCACACTGACTGAATCCCGTGCTGGAAAGATATGAATGCTCCTGAAACCTCCACACTGGGAAAAAACCAACTCGAAGAATTGCATGATCAAAGTCGCCACACCACACCATACCACACTTCACCTCACCTCACCTGACTCTACTATTGTTCGAAGATGGTCCGCAGTTAAACCTGCCTACGGTCTGAAGTATACTGTTGCTCTTCCTCACATAGGAGTACGCATTGTTGGTGATGGGGCGCAGCTCGAGAGACGAGATGAAGGGAGTGTAAGTCGGTGACGTTCGGATTAGACACACCGACATATTGGTTCCAGACGAGGCGGGCACCAGGATTTCAGCTATAGTGGGCTTGAACCAGGAATTTACCACATCTCGAGTGGCGGTGAGATCGATCGTCACCCACAGAGTAGCGTCAATAGCAAGATCGAACACAGGATTCACGGCCTTCTTGTCGTAATTCGAGTAGAGGAACATGGCTCGGACCAGGTACGTTCCATTCGGTTCCACGGGCAGCACGTAGCAGTGCTTGGTGCGAGAGTCGTCGAAGAATCTCAGCGAGCTCATCTGCTTCTTGTTTTCCTGAAGCATCGGGCCCGTCAACAAGTCAGCGGCGCTCGATCCTGTCCAGATGTATCCGTCGTCTCCCGTCCACGTGATGTTCGTCACTGGGTCCGTGTAGTTGCCACTCGTTCCGCAATCGATGCTGATGAATCCTGCGTTCTCTCAAATTCAACTCAGTACTCACGTACATCCAAAATCTCTGCGACTCTTGCAAATAATTTCGCGCATGGCAGGACTGCGGGCTGAACTTGCAGGGATCACACCTACGATGGGGTGCTAGAATCCCATCTCACGCATATCTTGCTCATCCGACATGGCATGCCCGGGGATCTCTTCCATCAAATGAAGAAATTCGACTATATCGATCATCAGAAGTGGGGGTTGAATCGAGATCATCCATTGTGTCAGATGGAATCTACATGCAAATCTCGAGGAGCATTTATCGAGAGATTCCGAGTGGGTTTACCTGGTTGAGCTGATGAGATTTGCAATGTACTGACAATTGAGACCGCGAGCAGGAGGCACCACATTGCGCCCATGTTGTTAGCTCCCAATCGCGCAGATGATGATGATCTACTGCCGTACATGCGAGTCTCAGCTATGAAGATCGTTCACTTCTCTTCTGCTCGACAAGCAAGGCCGGTGGATCATAAGTGCGGTTCCACAATCTGCTGCTCACCAGCACTTGCTCCACTTCTCTAAACTCGTTAGACTCCTCTACCCGAAGATCGTTCCAGCCATCTTCCAATACTTGGCGCATTGTAAAGATCGTTGCGGCCGAGAGGACCCTTTCATCTACCTACCTACAAATCCATTCCATCCAACCGTATCCACTACCTTCTCGGAAAACGAACTGGATCATCACCATCATCCCTCTACCTTGCTACCATCACATCAACTCTACCGCTGCACTATCAAATCATCACCATTCTCATCATCATCACCATCACCATCACCGTCGTCGTCGTCGTCATATTTCTGTGCTTCGTCCGCGCTCCATACTCCCGCTCGTACCACCAGCAGCTGCAGCAGCCCAGCGACAATCCTCCCTCGGAATCACTCTCCTCTGCAGAAACAAATCCATCTACTGGGGCGGGACATTGCAGCGCGATCTCCCACTGCGTGCGTGTGTGTCTCTCTCTCACTCACTCACATTCTCTCACACAACACACTCTCCAGCTCTCAAGTTCGCGAGCTCCAACCTCCACATTGCCCCACGCAGATGGACTGGACGTCCGATTAGAAACAGATAATCCATATACATTAATGTGCTCCTAATGCTCGAGGGATTCAGGATGTTCCGGGCTCACTTCCTTCCGTCCCTTCTGGCAGCACTCTGCCTTCACATCCAAGAGAAGTGAGCCTTCGTACGTGCTATGAGGGCTGTGTGGGCCTGCACTGGACTGGACTGGACTGCACTGAACTGGGCTGGGCTGAGTTAAGCACGAAGGTGCCTATCATGGCATCAGAGCGTGGCCAGTGGCCCCGACGCAATGTACTAGTAGTAAATCCTTGCTAGTAAACTGGATCTGGTTTCCTGGCAATGGATGTCTGCTTGTACTTTCTCATGTCTTGCGGTCTGTCAGTCCGTCTGTTCAACCCGCCAGCCAGCCAGCCAGCCCAGCCCCGCCACCGACTAGCCACCGAGTGTCACTCACTCACTCACCCGGGGCTAAACTCGAGTCACAAGTTAGCAGTGCAGCGGAATCCAGGGTCCATGAGAGAATCTTATGTTCTCCTTCACGGCGACGTCGTCTCTGGCATCCCATGCAACGCTGTTAAACCCTTCCGATCCGGTCAAAACCTTTCGTCGCAGTCGGCTCAAGCTCAGCTCAGCTCGTATGTCGTATGTCGTGTGTCGTTCTGGCGATGCGAATAATGATTGTGATTTACAGCATTTCCACGGCTTTTACGTCGCACCGAATTAATTACGTAGTCTGTCTGCGCTCGTCGGATACTCGGATCCTCGGATGCTCGATGGTGGATGATGAGTGGCGAGTTCGATTGACTTCTCGCATTGGAACAAACATTCGACTAACCGCATCAGCTCCCTCCTTCCCTCTCTGGATGCTCCACTGGTCACTGACTCCACAAGCGAATCTGGTCAAAGGCTCTGCGAGACGCTCGTAGCGTTCTGAGGGAGTTCTTGCCGGCCATGACTGCTCTTAGATCCGCTAGGCCCCCACGAAATTACCAGCTGTCTTGAGCGGATCTCGGTGCCGGGTGATCGTTCGGCATCTATCTGAGACGCCTGTTCCGCAAGCATCAAATTTGAGAGATGGATTTGAAAATTCTTTTTTGCGCTTTAAGTTAGAGCCTTGTAAAAGCTGAGATCCGAGATGCCGAACACGAATCCCTGCAGATGGGACCGACACCGTGCTCGGTTAGAGATTTACCGAGTCCAGACAAAACACAATTGGACAACTTACTCAATTAACGAACACCATATTGCGACGGTGCCCGAAGGGCGCATTGTTGACTGTCAATGTTTCAGTTCAGAGTCAGAGTCAGCATCTGCTTTTCGGCTTGACGATGCGTTTCGTTCAAACTCGCAGCCGGAGATGTGAACAGCGTTTCGGACTTAAAGAGTTTTCGACTTATGTTAAAGAACGTGAAGGAGTGGCCGCTGGTCGACATCAATGAATGCCCGTCAATGTCCAAGAACGGGAAGAGAACCAGCATTCGATTCGGCGCTTGATCTCTTGACTTCGAACTCGTCACGTGCCTGTGCTTTATATGAAATAAGACTTTTGCAACCTTTGTAACGATCTGATGGCATATGGGATGGGTCCAAAAGAATTGCGCACTGACATTTGTCAGGGAATCTATGATTCATGAATAAGACAACATTGACGCTTTAACTCGACTCTGAATCGTGTGGCTCTAGAGTCTAACGAGACTCCGCTGCGGCGCCAGTGGGGTTGTGCGCGTGCTCGAGGTGGAACACTGGATCTTCAAGAAGAGTCACATGCCTATCTGCCTGCCTGCGAAGATGATGAGCGCGCTGTGACAAAACCCATCCAGCCACGACGAGGTCGACGGTTCAATGTGATTACTGTAAATTAAACAGACCCGACTGTCATAAACATCGCGTTACGAAGTGGACTGAGCATCTGTTGAATTTCGCTGTGCAAGGATCGATTAATGATCGGTCCGTTCTGTACTTGGAATGCCCAGCTATTGTCAAGAGAAGGAGGGAGGGGTCGAAATTTTGACGATCAATGTGATTATTTCGGTTCTCTGTTTCGCCATATTCGTGCACTCTGTCCTCGGCTGCTTTTTGTGAGGAAATGGGGTCAGGCATCAGCAGGAGGACGGGGATGCATCAGTGCAGCTGATGCACTGTGTCAGTTGTGTGCGGTGCTCGTGTCAGTCATACACTTCCTATATCCCAGGCGCAAGGTGCGTACTGGAAGCAAGGAATCAGTGAGATATGCTTCGAATTCTGCGTGCCTTGGGCTGTGATTCGGGCTCCGTATACCACAAGCATATTATAATATATTTCTATGACGTGTATGAGAATCTCGACTGTTTGCCCAACGCTCCGAGGTCGTACCCGGGGCTCGCCCTGTTTCTGTTGAATCCCACCCCCGCTGCATTTCCCTCAGACTTCCTACAGCAGAGGCAAAATATATTTTTGTAGAGAAGAAAGTGGAGGAGAACCCACGTTGCGCTCTGTGTTCCCGGGGAGACTGCCACCTGCGTCCTCTTCTTCCTTCACAATCCTGGAATTGGAAAAGATCCGGTATTGCTGCAATGAGCACTTCTTTATACCTCCGTGTCTGGAAAATGTGCATGTGGAAATTTAGAAGCCTCACGAGTAATATTCATACACACGTAAAAACAGCTACTACTCAATATCAATACTCGCAAAGTGTTTGAATTAACCACATGTTAGATTAGAATCAGCACAAAAGTTACAGGAAGAAGTATTGAACAGGAAGCTGAACACCTTTGAGTGCAGAGCATGTTTCGAATCTTTCGATCATGCAAACATGGATCAGACTGGACAAGTAAATTCCATGGGTGATGCTCCCAGAATTGAGACTCACAGTAAGCCAGTGTTCACGCTCTCTCAATCAAATTTTGGAATTATCAAAAGTGCAAAAGTAACTGGAAAAAGTACGTGTCAAATACCTTTTGACTGCAGAGCATGATTAGATCAAGCGAACATGGATCAGACTAGGCCGGTAAATTCCGTGGGTGAAACTTTCGAAACGGAGTCACACAAAGAAGGTAGACACGCTGTATCAATTAAATTCTGGGATGATCCACGAGTCTAAACTGAAGGGTTGGGTACATTCACCACACGGTGATATGCAATAGAAGTTATCCAGACTCCTTAAATAGTAGATGGAAAGTGTTGTGCTACCACTAATATGCGTAATTATAGATGTTGGCATGAAACACACGAATTAAATACATGCATTAACTGACTTAACTATGGAACTGTTTGGAAGTTAAGGACCAGGTATATATAACTCTGCTAGAGATCGCGCCAAATTTATGAAAAGAACTATCAAGAAGCACATCTATTATTATTTTCTTACATTTTTTGGATAGCGCGTAGTAGATAAATATAGCAAATATTCAAAATGGAAGATGTTTATGGTAGAACTTTATGGATTGAGCTATTGTGAGATGAATGATGTTTACTTAGTGGAGGGATGGACTGTTCTATGTTACAAAATAAAACGTTGCTGTAAGGAAAAATTCTCAGTTTGAATAAATGTCAAAAGGTTGTGTGGAATGCAGGTAAAAGTTCGACTTCGAGTCGCAGTACAAGCTTTGGCATGGTGAGTTTGATGCAGATGTGGTAGATATTGATACCTTATGTGGCCTTGCCGTTTGAGTACAAACCGTCCATATTTCATGCACAGGGATAACATCGTGGATTTGAGCTCCTAACGTGAACTCTACGAGTTGTGGAAGCATTGTGCGTCAAGGTGGGAAATGAAATGAGTACAGTGAGCTTTGCTACTGTTTTGAGATTTGAGAGTGGTGAACGCTGGTCTGTATGAGCCAAGGTATCAATTAGCTTCTATGTGGGATAATGAACGAAGCTAAGAATAAACCGATGGACAAACATATGATTTTGTTCAAGCAGCATGCCTTAGATCAATATTGTGATCATTTGCCTCTGTAAATCACTTGGAAGAATCTCACAAAGATGTGTGACATGATAAAGTGCCGTAAAGCAATGTGTGTGTTTCACACAAGGCAATGGGCTGTCATGTTTGCAAGGTATTGGTTAATGACAGAAATAAGCATAAGACAAAGGCTGGATGTGTTAGATTTAAGTGACTCTGATATACCAATTTAATGAAAACTTTAATATTTTGGATCATTAGAGTAGAGAGCTGGAAAAGTTGATACCTCTGATTCACGTTAAAACATTTGAAACGGGCTCCAATCATTATATGTATAATAAGTTCTTCGGGCACATGTATGTAACACATTATATTGTTATCAAATCAAACATCACACATCAAAGATTGTCACACGGTATCACAATTATATCACAAATATCTTAATACTTTCAAATTGTATTAAGTGTATTCAACTTAACACCAAAATATAAGTGAAACATTACAATCAAGCCATATAAATTTTAAACCTCAAAGTCAATGTTCTTGCTCTGGATAGTATGCTTCACTTTACTCATAAACCTAATTCCGTTGTAAATGATTGCTGTTCTAGCTGGTTAAGTTTTAGTATATGTACAGTACTATCAAATAAGGATTGTGGAATTTCTAACAAAAAATACATTTGAACTCATTTTTACATAACAAGTTGAACAAACTAGAAATACTAAGCGTTTTTTTCAGTCAATTTGATGGAATAGATAGCCCTAATTGGATTTGTGTACTTATTGAAGAAGTTGAAGCAAATATTGCATATTTCTTGTGTGTTCTAATTTGGTGCAAGTATAACTTAGAGTTTATGCCATCTCATGGTTGCACATATCTTTTATATCCATATTCTGAAAGTCTCAATGTTCAGAAACAATTGCTTAAAGATTTTCAATTTAAAATAATAAATAATTGAATTAAAAATACTCAATAGCTTTATGAACTCCATATTATTGTCAAAAAATATGCAGATCATTAACAATGCTAATTTCCGTGATACATGTACACATCCTCTAAAAACAGAACATAATTAAATCATGAGATTTTGCATGTAAATAAATGTCATTTCACAACATGCACTATTATCACATCAAAAGACACAGATTAATATGTGTTGTAGATTAATCATTTTAGCACATTTTAAGTATCCCTATATAATGAAATTTATTAATTATAAAGAATTCTATAAATCTTGAAGTAAATATTTGATATAAAAAAAAACTGCTGGTTTTCATTAAACAACAAAGTGAATGATCTGATCAATCCTTGTATCATCATATCCATACGAATGCTTCTACATATCAATATAGTAGTATCTAAGATATAT